GAATTGAACTCCAATAAAGAAATTTTAGATATCTGATCGAACTCATTTTATTTATATATTTCTATCATGTAGAGGCTGATAAATTTATACTCGTGTAAAATTTCAAAAAAAAAGGTCAAATTTAATTTTTTCTTCATACAGAGTGTTTTCCAAGGAAAAATCAAACATTATAAAATCGTTTTCCTTAGGGTTTTTCCCTCCCCTACCATTTTCAAGGTTTCAAACATAGCCTAACTCTTTGAGATATAGATTTCAAACCCTTTCCTAAAGAGTATACAGGATGTTAAGAAAACCGATATGGGCATCATCTCACCTTCCCATCTCTCATTGTGAATACGCAGAACCATTGTAGCAAAAGTAGGAGTGTTTGAGTTCTTAGGAACTGTTGGATCATCCCTATAGCCCTCATATTGTCCAAGAACAACCTCTTCATCTTTTATGGGATTTACTGACTGGAGGACCTGAATTCCATATATAGCAAGTAGTATACATAAAGTAGTGCAGAAACATGTAAGAGTGTGCATGAAGTTTTTCAATCATCAAAGTTTTACATTTTTTTCCAAATGTCATGCTTGTTAGAGGTAATAAAAAAAGAAAACCCAGAAAAATTTAACTACAGGAGAAGGCTGTCCACAATTAATATGGCAAACTCATCAATAAGATGGAACGCTCTTACAAAATGAGGAAATATTCAGGGATGGTGATTCATGATAGATCAAACACAATGCTTCTGAGCAAAAACAAACTTTTATAATGCTAAAAGCAAACCTTCACTTTCTCGTCTCGGATATGCTCAGGCTTTAGCGAAATTGGCTTCTCCATGGCAACAAGGCAAAAAACCTGTATTACAAAAGAAAATGAAAACTCAAAAAAAAAAACAAATACTCTGCAACAAGAAGGCCCTTTTAAAGGAACTCTAATTCTAGGAAGTTAACATTGCTCTGTAACAAAATCAAGAGATTGCAGGAGTAAGGGGAATAGGGAAAGACGGGAGAGCAAAACAAGGACCCAACATAATGCAATTGCATTCTGCAAAACTCTAGAAATAACTTCATCATTGAAACCATTTAACAAATATATGTTGCAACTTTAGATAATATCATTGTGATGAGATTATAACAGGGTACCTGCAAAAGGTGATTTTGAATAATGTCGCGTATAATCCTGCCAAAATGTAGAGTTTGTAACCATTAACTTTCTGTTACTACTTACCACCAGCTTATATGTTGTTGTTTGGTAAGATTAATGAAATGCAATATAATCAAATGCATCTGTGATGTATATTTGTACTAAAAAAATAATATATCTAATCATTCATTACATTATACCAAACTACCCCTAAATTCAGCAGGCAAAATGAGTAGTCTCTCTTTTATATCCTTCCTCTACTGCAAAAAGGGTCAAGCCTAGATTATCTTTTACAAACCCAAATAATAAGTGCAGTTTCCCCTCGAGACTCGAGTAAACAAGCATTACACTGAAATAATTTTATTTTTTGTCGAAAGATGAGGTTGTTGCAGGATGCTAAATACGTATCGCACTTCGCTTCAATTAGTCCAAAAAGGTCTCAAGAGCCAGAAACATCAATAATCTTCCAAATTATAACATCAGAAAATATATTGTTGAGTAGACATGATGGGATCCAGAAAGAGTACCCATATTGATCAAAATATCCACCACGGCCTTCAGTGCCGAAGTCTTCTCTGAATACAATCTGGATGCAAAGAAGTAATATACATATAAGAAAACACATACTCAGTAGAACACAAGGCCCTTATGTACTTACTAATTAGATGGGTGAAAGTAGGGAATCATGTGAATATGAAAGAGTAAAACAAATGAATTTAAGCATGTGTTCCATCATCTAGGACATCATCAGCAATTCAGCAGTAGCTTAATCCCTACCATGTTGGGGACTTGGGGTTGGTGGCATAAAGTCTATAGTCTCAATCATTTGTCTTAAATAAAAAACTACACGAGCCTGTGGAAGCATAAGCTTTTTATAAACACCTTAGCCAACGGGCATACAAAGAAAAACAATGAAAAACATGTACTCTCAAATTTCACTTGTTCATGGCGAGTCATGGGCTCTGAATAGAAGTTATTCTTTAAATATCGGAAGAGAAATAGAGCCTATGTAAATAATCCAGATTATTGATTTGGGTTAAGACATCATAACATTACGTCAGGTCATTAAAAATCTAACAACACTATTCCTAAAGTTTCTCTCTCTATTACATTTTGTTGGGCTCGGACATCTAATATAACTAGATACATGAATGTCTTCAAATTCCCCACTAGTTAAATACAGAGTATAACAATAAGCATGTGTGAAGACCAACCTGAACACTGTCAATATTGTCACGATTCCAAAGAGGCAAAAAGAAGCGATTAGCAAAGCGAAGCACAAGCTGCATAGAGATTATTAATTAACAAAAGCAAACACATAAGAAACAATTGACTATCTAGATTAAGAAAACATAGAACCACTAGAAAGAATACCAAGTTCTGAACCAACTCCTTCCCCAAGTAGTGGTCAATACGATAAATTTCTGGTTCATCAAATAATTCTCCTATCTGGGCACTGAGTTCCTCAGCTGTAGCCAAATCCCTCCCAAATGGCTTTTCAACTATGATGCGTGTCCATCCACCAAGATCGGCTGTGTAAGCAAACCCGTGAAGCAATGGATCAAAATATCAAACTTAAGGTTTGGTGGAATTGTGGAACATTAGAGAGCATCGTGAAAAGTACAAGACTATTAGTAAACTAATTGCCTTCAATGAACATTATAGATGGATAAAAAAACATATATATCAAAATAACATATTTTTTTTGTTAAGAGATGGATCCCAATGGCTTGTGTTGCATAACCAACACCACTGATTTTTATTGAGACCTGCCCACTATAGAAAAGAATGGTGATGATTATCACTCAGGGATTGGCGGAGCTCGTGAGGGGCCATAACACGCCCTGGCCTACTCCAACTCGGTCTAATTAATCCTATGTATATTTATTATTACCTATAGTCTAAAATGTGTGAGAAGTTAGTGATACATTTTATGTGAATTTTTAAGTATCTACAGCTCAAAACTGTGTAAGAAATTTGTTGAAACAAAGAGATAAAATAAGTTTCTTTTTGGAATAATAATATTTTGTATTTTCAAGAAATTTGATGTCTACGTCACTTCACAAGAAAATACTGGACTCCATAAAAGCACCCATTGTGCTCCTTAAGGTTTTGGTAAAAAAGGAAGCATACATTTATTAGTGCAATACAACTTTATCATTCTGCAAACAGATGGATAAACTGAAGGAGGGAGTGCAAGGTAGAAAAGCCTTCTGGATGATCCTTCTGTGCTATTCTTTGATACTTCATGCTCACTTATTGCTTTGTCTAATGACTGAAAACCTTCTTCAGAGTCATAACCGCCACATATATACTTTATCTGTGAGAGTTGACTCAGCATAAGAAAGAATGACATTACTGGAGGGGTGATTATAGATTGGTCATGGCACTAACTACTAACCAATTGCAGAAAATTTGAAACAGATTCTGGATTCTCTTTCTCCGGGGAAAGATACCTGTGATGTAATGAATGGTCAGCCACGGAATAAAATCCATGTAAAAAAGTGTAAAAATTGAGGACAGGGCAGTGCAGTATTCTCACCCGCGAATACGATCTCTCAATTCATCAAGTGCAATTTTGGTCCTTGCATAGCCAAAGATGTGAACATCGTTAGATTTCAAGAATCCCTGCAGCAAAATCAAAAATCACACAAGCAGCCAAGTGTGTATATTCAGGCTTAGAAATTCACAATCAAACTAAAAATCAGAATGCAAAGAAGACTAAATCCAAACAACATAGCCGGGAGTAAAAGAATGAAGAGATGAATAGCAGGGGAAGCACCTGGCGGTAGAGGTTGAACAGGGCAGGAAAAGTCTTCTTCTTTGCAAGATCACCAGAAGCACCAAGAACAACAATGGAGAGGCACCCAGTTTCGGCCACACCACCAATCTCTCCTCCAACGGATTCATTGCCGACTACGCCCCTTTTCTCCACGCACCACTTGTCCGATGCCATACCTCTCCACACAGTTGATCTATCGAAGTGAATTAAAGGCACGAACTTTAAAATAAACAATCAGATCCAAGTAGCCAACGTGGGCAAGGCCACGTGAAGAACAAATAAGCAAACAAAGTGGCGAGCAGGAATCAAGGAAACAATCAGGCGAACTCACCAGCTCAACGCGGGAACAAACTGAGCAGGACGGCAATCAAAAAAAAAAAAAAAGAAGAAGAAGGGGAATCAGTCAACTGGGAGGAGGAGGAAAGAACTAACCTTTACTCGCAGACAGGAAGATAAAGGAGTGGCAGAGAGAAGGTGGGAGAGGGGTAGGAGGAGGAGGAGGGGTTAGGAGTTGAATGAATACAGAATCAAATCAATCTCTCATCCAATCCAAGTGTAACGCGGATAGAAGCTGAGTGGGAAGGATTGACCCGTGCAGAATGGGGTGAATGGAAATGGTATACTTTTCAATGTGAGACGGCATCTCCGGTCCCGCCAATCTCGGCATCGGCGCGTCGGGCGTTGATGATGGAAGACGCCGCATCCGACCGAGGGAGCAAATGGTCACCTACCAGACTTTGATCACATTCAATTCTATGAGCTATGACCCACCCAATTACGGGGTACAAATTTACCAGCCCTCTTTTTCTTTTTTTCTTTTTTCTTTTTGATTTAGAAAAAAAAAAATGAGCCACATCCCTCTCCGTCGAGAATGTTAACTGGAATTGAGATGAAAGCAAAAATTGATATGTTGTTAAAAAGTGCGGGTGATTCAATTGACTCTGTAGTAAATTTACTTTATCCCAATTTCTACAATATCTCAAATGATCCAATATATTTGTTAAGTCGGACTATCCTTGCACCAACTCTAGACGTTGGGGATAAAATACTCTTTAAATCTCATTCAAATGCATATTTCTTAACATGCTTGCATTCTCCTGAATTTCTAAATAACATACTAGCATCTAATGTGCCAAATCATAAATTGAAATTAAAAGTTAGAACACACATCATGTTGTTGAGGAATATAGACCAATCATCAGGTTTGTGCAATGAAACAAGGTTGATAGTTACTCGACTCGAGAATCACCTTATTCAGAAGACAATGCTGACAAAGAAAAATATTGGTCAAGAAGTTGTTATCCACGGTTGTTGCTTACACCATCAAATATGAGAATTCATTTTAAGTTTCAAAGAATACAATTTCCAATTATGATTTCATATGCAATGACGATTAACAAAAATCAAGGCCAATTTTGTTACATTAACAAATCGCAAAGAGTTATTCTTAATTTGCAATGAAGGTTGTGCATCGTCAAACCAAACTACAAATATACTATAAATAAGTTTTCTCTTTCTTTAAGATTTTATAATATTTTCTTAAGTTTATGTATTTTTTATCATTTTCCTTCATCAAAACTTTCCGTAATTATTTAGCATATAAGTAGCTCGTGCAGCGCACGGGTACGAGGGAGCCATAGTGTCCTCAAGATTACTCAAAGATTAAATATGTTAATTTTGTTCTCACATACAGAGCATATGAATTCGACAAGTTCATGTCTTTAAAAACAAAACAAACAGATAACCCTTTGGGGTACATTGGTAATAGGGATGAAAGCATTATAAGGAATTAAGGTTGTAGACTTGATTTCCGTTAGTAGGAGGAAGTTATATGTCCTTGGTGGCTCCTCTCCAAAGAAAGAACGTAAAATTTAATTTATCACTAATTTAAGGAGGGGTGAATTGACCATAAAAGACTCGTGGTGGGCAACCAAATTTAGACAGCAAACAAAAGGAAATTGCACAAATGCTGCAAACTGCAATTTAGATACCACAAATTTGAGAAGGGGAGACTAGAAAAGCATCATTCATTATACAATTACGGTCACATTGAACGCGTCTTTGGAATGCATTACAAACTGTAATGAGAGAAAAGGCTTGCTGCTTTTTTTTTGTCTAGTTCACTGCGATCCGCTCCTGCTTCAGGGAGAGAGAAAGAGATAAATCAATAATATCAGAAATGCACAAAGTTACAAACAATGCGCACTAGAGGGATCAGTTAAAACATGCATAGGGAGGGTGCAAACCTTTTACTTAAATCACCTGAAATCCATACTACATTTTTAACCATTTTGGCTTGATGTTCTTTTTCTCAGCAGGTTTTTGCTCTTGAGGAGTGTGAGGAGTGTGGTTGTCAGCTACCGAAGGCGGCAGCTCAGGAACCACTTCATCCGGCTGCTTTGTTATAGCAGACTCCAACCCTTGCAAAGACAATATCTCCTCTTGGAGGTAGTGCTGACCATGGGCACCATCATCACCTATCAGAGTTCTTCATTCATGCAATCAAACCAGCTACAGTTTTGGAAATGTGTAATATACTGTTTGACATTTGTAAAAAATACTATGATGATTGATTGATTTAGAATAAGATGGCGGTAATATTCATTGTTTGTTCTTGGATAGGGGTAAGGTCTGCATACACACCCCTCTATGGGATTTTACTGGGTTTTTTGTCGTTGTTGTGCTTGGATATTTATCGCATACACAAATCAAGCATTAGTTTGATGCCTGAAATGCAAGAGGTCACAAGTTGTTCAAAAGAGGCATCCAACTCGAGCCAATGCTGTTAAATCCAAATTACAATCTTCATTATACTTTGTTGTAGTGTATCCTTGCTAAATATTCCTTTAAAAATATTCCATACTCTGCTAGTATACGCTACATTCACTATTACTCCATCCGTTTCATAAGAAGTCCCATTTCTCAGCTTGTTTTTGTCTCATAAAAGACTCATATCTCTCCAGCTTGTTTATAAATAAAGGTATATTTATTGCTAAGAGTTGTACCTTACTAAAATTAAAGAGTTGTACACTCATCAAAGCGGAATGCAGGGGGTATATGAAAATTAAAATTATCAAAGCAAATCGTATAATAAGTGTAGATCATTATTGCAGGAATTCACGATAGTAAGATAGGTTGCCGTTGAAAATGCAGGACAAGATGTTAATGGAATATTTACTGACCCTTTGCTGCATTATACGAGAAGTATACAATTGCACCAGGAACAAAACCGGCAGAGTAAAAATCCTGCGACATGTCTTTTATCTGCTTCTTGGGAGGAGTAGTATCTGTCAATACAATGAATACACTTTGCTTCAATCATTCATATAAATAGGACAGCGGAGCCTTAAATTAAGAAACTTGATTTCAAATACACTCACACAAATAGAAAGGCAAATCCGGCCTAGCAACCACTTTCGTGAGCAGGTTAACCAAGTCTTGGATTGTCTCTGATGGATGAAATGATGCCTCCAAGGTGAAATTATCAGGAAATCTCACTCTGATTGCAGTCTGCATATCAACAATGACAAGACATTTTAAAAAAACATTCTTCTCCTTATGCTAAAAAGATTGTAAATGGAGATTGAAATAATAAAATACTTCAAATTAATGAACACCTTAGTTATTTTTGATCTGCGAGCAGCTTGTTCTGCTTCCCTTATTTTCTGAGTCTTCAAATACTTATCTGTTCATGATAGTGTGTAAAGTTAAACAGTATAAGCATGCATCAGCTACCATATTGAGCCATGTGGACATCCACACATAGAGCTAATTCCCACTAACTGGATACACATAACTAGGTGCTATTGTGTTTAGTACCTTCCTTCTTGGTTGCCAATAAACGGTAGTAATCATCTGCTGTAAACTCATAGAAGTCTTCTGATTCGTCTACATGTCACACCAAAAGAAGAGACATATGGAATCAAACATGAGAGCAAGATAAAGATATTTCAGGCAGTTTAAAACCAAGCAGGAAATACCATTGTTAGGGATATCACTTGAGGACAGGGATTCAGTTATTGTTGGGAAGACACGGATTTCACGGCCAAATTTTTCCTTTGCAGCTGCAAGCTTTGCCTGAAATCAATCAAGAAACAACAAAATTTAGTAGCTATATAACATAAAGTGCCCTAATGTGAATACAGTATTGTGTTGTGAATACACAGGCGTCTCCTCTTCTATTTCTTCTTATGTAACAAATCCTAGCTTGCAAACTCCGCCCAATTCTTATTTCTACTTCAACAAGTACACAATCATACCGTGAAAATGTGAAATCAGATGAGAGATCAAAGCTTCTTAGAAGTTCTACAGATTTTTACATGGACAGGAGTGACATATCATTATATGAATAGCAGCGATTAGGAGATTTACGCACAACAAGTAACAATAGGAGCTTTAAGAGATGATTCGGGAACCAAAAATTGCGAAGATCAAAGATGATGGGACAAAATGGGAGGAAAACAAAAGAATAAAGGAGTGAAGTAATAGACGACCTTGGCGGAATCAGCTTCCATGGGATCAGCAGTTGAGAACCTCCTTCGCTTTAGAGCAGCTGTGGAATCAACTATCATTACCAGATTCAAGAAACCTCCTTGTCTTTTTGAGTGATGCTGATGATGATGATGTTTATATAAGAAACTTTCTCCAACCAAATACGGAGTATTTATCTGAGCTGTGGGATTGCTTGGGATTTTAATCTCTTTCTCAAATGAATCATATTTCATTCTTTTAATAATTATTACCTCCCTAATTATTATTTTTTGTTTAAATTACTCATTTACTCCCTAATTATTAGTGGTTCACTGGTTCCAAAACTAAAAAGAAAGAACAAAATTTAGAGCATGGGCAATGGCAAGTAATGAATGGAATGTCACACGCTGACGTGGAGTATTTTAACCAATAAAAAACAAGCTAGTCAACGTGTGGCAAATGAGTGGAGTGTCAAACTTTACAATGGCAAGTCATAGTTTTTATTATCTTTTTATATTTTTTGACATATTTTAATTATTAAAAATTATTATACTTATTTTATATATCATAAAAATATTACTACTTACTCAAAAAAATTAACAGATTTTTTTCTTTAAAAAAAGAAAAGAAAAAAAATTAAAAAAAAATAAAATAGGGGCAAGATTGCCACGATTGTGACTTGCAAAGAGAGGTGCCATGCTCCTTCCACGCATGGAATAATGTCCTTTGTGATGATGTGGCAGTGAGGCATGAGCAAGGCATGAGAGACTTCATGCCATTGCACATGCTCTTATCATACAACACTCCATTTAGAGTACTTATGTTCGTAAAATTAGTTCTTCATACCCCTCCTAATTCTCAATTAACCTTTCAAGCCTAGCATAGTAGCATACTAGCATGTCCCTAACTCCCCAAGGCACTCCAACACCTCCAATTGCACCAATTTTCATTTTGGTCAAATATTTGACCACAAAGTCAACCAAATGAAAAGTGATACAATTGGAGGGGGCCAGGTGCGGGATGTCTCTAAGAACGAGTTGGGCTTGTGGGGTTTTACTGGGATTGTTATGGTGATATGAACAATCAAATTTATAAATGTGAATCATATGTACTCCAACCGAGTCTTGTAACATTTGTTATAAATTCTGTACTAAGATTAAGCCCCTCACGCACACACACACAATGGTTTGGTTGGAAAATAAAAAATCGCAAACCGAATCGAAACTGATAGAAATGAGCTAGAAAAAAGTTAAACTAAAAAAAATGAAATCGAATGGAACAAAAAAATTGAACCAAATTGTTATTATCTGGTTTTTTGTGTTGGTTTTTACTTTGGAAAACCGAAATGAATAAACTAAACTTTCTTAGGTACTTTGTTTTATTTGTATAAGTTTTGGTTTTCACATATTTACATATAAAAACATTGGTGCTATAATAGAAATGAAAATATTATGCCAAAAAGCACAAATTCTACATATATTTACATGAGAAATGCTAGAGTCGCAACTCCAAATACTATTATTCTTAATCGGGTTAGTATTTTTACAATTTTTAATGCTTATAAATTTTTACTTTTATAAACCAACAAAACTAAGAAAAACCGAAATAAAAACCGCATAAAAGTGAAATGAATAACCAACGGCTTACAAATTTTTTTTAAACCGAATTGAAAAAATAAAAAATTCCTCGAGTTACTATTTTTATAATTTTTTAATACTTACAAATTTTTTACTTTTACAAGCTGAAAAACTAAAAAACCCAAAAATAAAACTGCATAAAACCTAACTGAATAACAAACAACTTACATATTTTTATACAAAACGGTTTACCTTCTGTTTTGTCTTTAATTTTGAATGAAAATCAAACTGCTAAAATTGAACTTAAATCTAATACGCACACACAGAGGGGGAAGAAAGACTTACAATAAAACAATACGAAAAGTGTTCATTTTATTAGTAGAGTATTTAGAATATTTTTTTTACAAAATTGATAACTTTTATCCTCTAATACTTTCTAAGTTCCTCACCCAACTCCGGGTATCAATTTTTTAAAAGTTAAGAGTGCAATGAATTAAAAAAATTGAACCTTTGTAGTTGGTTTGTTTTCATTTATTGGTCCATTATCAACAAATTTGTTATGTTAGCATTTTGTGTAAATAAACGAACAATTAATTTTGAATATAGGCACAGAGATAACTTGACAACTTAATTTATGTAATGAAATTGATAATCACAAGAAGAAAAGGTTTTTTTAGTAATAATGTAGAGTGGTACAAATCATAATATCATAGATTGTAATACTCGAATTACATTCTTTATTATATACTCGTCAGTATATAAATAGGGTTTCCAATTTTTGGTTTTTGGTTCCGGTTCAGGATGTTTCCCACGGGTCTGGTTCAGAATTCTAGTTTGTGTACTCATCCCGTCATACTTAATGCAAATTTTCATTGTTAATAAAAATACGAGTAAAAACTTGCTTTTAGTTAGCATTTGTCTTTTCCCTTTAAAATACAAAAAGGGGAAAAGGGCTAAAGAAAGAAGAAGAAAAAACTTCATCACCAGAATGACAATCATTCTAGCGAACACCAACCAGTCATTAGCTCATTGTGAAGATCCCCCTCTCTAGTCTTCCTTTCTGGTAAATGGCGCTTGTATTCCCGTCTATTTCATACTTGCTGTTTGATTTCATTCTTGCAGTTGGGGTTTTGACGAAGAATGCTTCATCTCCAGATCTTGTAATCGCTTGATCTAGCCGAGGAGAACTGAGGTCAGTGTAATCTTGCCTGTCTATCTTCCCGGAAGAGAGCTCAATGGGTCGGAAATTTTGATTTTTATGCGGGTGTTTGGGTGCTTAAAACCTGCATCTGGACTTTGCGTTGTTCAGTTGTAAAAAAAAGAAGAAGATTTCATGAACTTGCTATCGAATTTCCTTAGCCTAATATACACCAGAATTTCTCTTTTGAGTGTTGGATTAGTAGCAAGATTTGAATTTTCTTTACTGTTTTATGTTTAAATTGCCCAGATGAGGAAGGGACTGACTTCTGTTGATCCATACCACAAAGCCTGTGAGGTGATTAGATCCTCGCGTAAGTGGTTGGCTTAATTTATTGTTTCCTGCTGCTGCAAGTGTCTGTATCTTCTGTGATCTGTACTCTTTTTTAAAACCATTCAATCAACACACCTGCTGGGCTCACTTGAAGGAAACTTGAACGAATTTGCCCCTAGTGATGATCAAACAGATACTCAACAGGCTCCCCCGGAAGCCCTCTAAGTCATCTGAAAGTCGTGATGGAGGAACCTCTTCTTTTCCGTCAAATGCCTCTTCAAGTACAAGAAGCGGCGACTTGTCAGGTTCGCGGTCAGGGAGTTTGAATGCTACTTCTCTTGCAGGGATCAATTTCAGTTCTACCTCTGGGGCAAACCATGGAAATAAACTTCCCAATGCCTCAATGGTTAGGGAGAATGGGAGTTCAGCCGTTTTCCAATATGAACCATTGCCTAATTTTAGAGACGTTCCCTCTAGCGAGAAGCAAAACTTGTTCATAAAGAAGCTTAACATGTGCTGCATTGTGTTTGATTTCACTGACCCGACAAAAAACATGAAGGAGAAAGATATAAAGCGACAGACCTTGATGGAGCTTGTTGATTATGTTGCCTCAGTGAATGTGAAGTTCACAGAAACTGCTATGCAAGAAATCATAAAAATGGTATCCACTAATCTGTTCAGATCACTTACCCCTCAGCCTCGTGAAAACAAGATTTTGGAAGCTTTTGACTTGGAAGAAGAGGAACCGATGATGGACCCTACATGGCCGCACCTGCAAATTGTGTATGAATTCCTTCTCAGGTTTGTGGCATCACCCGAGACAGATGCCAAATTAGCAAAGAGATACATTGATCATTCTTTTATCATTAGGCTCCTAGATCTCTTTGATTCAGAAGATCCAAGAGAAAGGGAGTACTTGAAAACAGTTCTCCACCGCATTTATGGAAAGTTCATGGTACACCGCCCCTTCATCAGGAAAGCAATCAATAATATATTTTATCGGTTTATTTTTGAAACTGAGAAACACAATGGGATCGCCGAGCTGTTGGAAATCCTGGGCAGTATAATTAATGGCTTTGCCTTACCACTGAAGGAAGAGCATAAACTTTTCCTTGCCCGAGCCCTTATCCCGCTTCACAAACCAAAGTGCATACAGATGTACCACCAACAGTTATCTTACTGCATCACACAGTTTGTGGAAAAGGATTGCAAACTTGCTGATACAGTCATTAGGGGTTTGTTAAAGTATTGGCCTGTTACAAACAGCTCTAAGGAGGTCATGTTCTTAGGTGAGTTGGAGGAGGTATTGGAAGCAACACAGCTTCCTGAGTTCCAGCGCTGTATGGTTCCTTTGTTCCGCCAAATAGGTCGCTGTTTGAGCAGCTCACATTTTCAGGTTGGTGTTTCGTATATTTCAACTCTTGCAGTTTTTTCCAAACTAGACGAGGCATGCCTTTTTTTGTTTAACTTTTGTACTTTGTGGATTTGTTCTAAAAGAGAGATTGCATTTATCATTTGACTCCAAGCTGATCTCCCTCAACTCAATAATTTATAGTTGATCTTGAATTAGTTGGGGTTGATCTCTAGCATTCTATTTCTTCAATCCTCATTGTGTTTATTAAGCTTGGATGTCCCTTTCTAATATTTTCGTCATCATCCACCCACTCATCCTAGCAATACTATCTTATCTCCCTTTCTAGCAGTTTATCTATATCCCCACACCAACATTGCATAACTATGCACAATAATACTCCATCTAGAAAACGAGTTATGTTTGGTTGGACACATTATTAATTCGGACACTTTACAACACTTAAAAGTCCCAGAATTCTACATATACTTTGAAGTTTTTTTAAAAGTAAAGCTATCATGTTTATCTTGATGTATATTTTTTTGGCAAATTACATGCAACACCAACTGTGGTTGATCAAACACAGGGCCATGTTTTTGGACAAAAAACTTTTGAGACATGATTTTTTTGGGTGGGATGGGGTGCAGGCACACTCATTTTAAATTAAATTAATTACACGTGAGCTTTTCACAATTTGGCACACCTACATGTTGTTCTGTGAATTATCATATTATCTACTGTATCATCTTACAGACATTTTCTTTCTTTACCATTGAGTAGTAGTAACTTCCATAAATGTTAGTAGGTGGATGATAGAATTTACATTCCAACAGCATAAGATTGTTACACATAAAGCTGGGCAATACTTATCTTTACTTCCATCCATCCCTAGTTCGATACAATTAGTTCTTCAAAATTCCTTAAGGTGAACAAAGAACTTTTAATGTGTACTCTAACAGACTAATGTACTTAACAATATCGTTCCTCCAGTGTAGCATCTAATCTATGTTCCACGACTCCACAAGAACTCCATTTTTTCCTCTATGCCCATTCTTGAACTGATGAAAACTATGCTATAGTACTAAACAAAATGAATATTACATTTCTTTCTTTGTTTCTATAAAATAACCATTGTTACCTCTCTTTTGTGAGCTGTACACTTATACTTGCTAGATTTATCTTCTTCATTGCATGCCCTTTCAGCGAATTTTTTCATTTTACTAGAAGGTTGGGGTGAATCCTCCATTTCATATTTTTGACCTTTTATAGTTGAGCTATATATGTGTGTGTTTGTGTGTTCGTAAGCTATGAGAGAATTGGCTGCACTTTTCTACACCAGTGTACACAGTAACTTGTGGATAAGCCAAAAAAGAACATCTTGAACTTGGCTCTGAAATTACCCTTTTTTTCACCTTCAAAAAGCCAAGGAGAACCCCTCTTGTTGGGATAGTTGAGATGTCCATTAGTATACGATAGTTAAGAAATGAAAAACGGTAATCCTCATGTTGGGATGTGTGTTCTATTGGAGAAACTGACCAGGGAACATGGAAAATGCGAAATGAAGACCGACAAGAATCAGCCAGAAGAGTACCCACTTGTTTGCTATATATCTCTCAATCTGGACTCTTCCTTCCACTTTTCAGTCTTGTTTTTTTTGTGTGCAGGTGGCTGAGAGGGCATTGTTTTTATGGAACAATGACCATATCGAGAGCCTAATCAAACAAAACCGCAAGGTCATACTGCCAATCATCATCCCTGCTTTGGAGAGAAATTCCAGAACCCACTGGAACCAAGCAGTTCAGAGTTTGACACTGAACGTCCGCAAGCTCTTCTCAGACATTGACCCAGAGCTATTTGAGGAGTGCTTGCAGAAATACCAGGAAGATGAATCCCGCGAGCAGGAGGTGAAGGTGAAGCGGGAAGCAACTTGGAAGCGGCTTGAAGATCTGGGCGGGATAAAAGCCGCAAGCAATGAGGCGGTTCTTGTCTCTCCAAGGGGGGTAGCCAATCGTGGTGTGATGACGACATCTGGTTAAAGATCAGTCCAGACACATAAACACATTTGTCTGTATCACATAAAGACTGACTGAGTGAAAAATGTGAATCATCATCATCATCATCATGAACAACAACAACAATGGCCTTGTGGTAAAGAGGATGGATCACTAACTCTCACAAGTCACAACCACTGAAGTTTCTCAGATTGAAGAGGAGGGGCTGGGCTGTACATAGGGAAGGAGGGAATTGGGGTTGAAATAGTTTCTCTCAATATTTTTATAGCTTGAGTCAACTTTGGCATTCTCTTTGTTTGTCTGAGAATTTAAGGGCGGCTTCATTTTGCAGGACCCCCCCTCCCTACTTCATCCTTCTTCTTGAATATTTTTAGTCTTATTCTGCAGAACTTCTATTATACTATATACATACATTCATCCCTATCTGTACCATCTTCATTATTAGACACTGTTTCAGATGAGAAGTTTAAGAAAGTTTGCCTGCTTCACTATTTGAAGCTCGACCATCTCATTTCTAAGAGCTAGCAGCTTGAAGGCTGCATTTCATGCTGCCTTAATTTTTTCAGAAAATTATTCAAACTCATACTCGTAGATTTTACATAATATAATCATATCATTTTTTTCTCGTAGAATTTTTTACATAATTTTTGAATATATATAATTTTTTTTAAATATATACACCAATTACTAAATAAAAAAATGAAAATGGCTTCAACAAAACATTATAAATTGCTGTCAGTTTTTTTTTTTTGATAAATAGAGTATGCTTTAAAGATGTAACAATGTGTTGAGTTTGTATATTGATTAAAGCGCAAGTATCAAATCAAAGGGTAAATAGTAAATACCAAAGTTTAACATTTCACGCAGTAATATTTTTTTCTACAAGAAAGGTTAAAAGAAGCTTTTTTCACGAAAAATATATTATTAGCACGTTCTATAATAAACAAATTGATGGTAATAATCAAGATGTTGTCATTTTATGAAATATTTTCATCTCAATCCTCTGTATAATCAATATGATATGATCATTACGAAGCACACAAGCATGTTGCAAATATTTTCCGTTATTTTCATGTAATAAGGTAAATTTTGCTAGTTTAACTAGTTGTAAAAAATTAAATTATTCAAAACATTGTTCAATGAAAGAATGTTAAATATAACAACATGTTTTACCCCTATTTAAGCAGGATATTTTAAAACATAAATAAAATTTGGAACATCAATATTTTTTCAAAACAATAGATTAATTGTTACATAGGGAGTACTTTTGAATTTTATGTACGGCTCTGGTTGGAGTCTAAAGTCTAATGATTGATTCTACATTGTCCTAAATTTTGATTCACTTTGTCCAAAAAATCATTCTTTTAAAGGATTTTTCTAAATTTACTGTAAAAAAAACAAAAAACAGACTTGTACTCCGGAAAATTAGACAAGAAAAAGGAAAAAAAAAATCCGATCGGCTCCATCTTCTTCGGCATCACACAACTGCCGATTATCAGTGATCATCAGATTAGGCCACTTCACTACCACAACTTCTCCCTTCTTTCCTTTCCTTTCCATTTTTAACAAATTCGCCCGGAAAAAAGGGAACCTTTTCTACCCCGCTATCTCCTCTATTTTTTGCTAGATCTCCGGCCAGGTACAGTTTCAGATCAATCTATTAGTTCCGGCGTTTTGAGTAGACTATGCCGTTTTTATTTTCTCGAGCAGGGAGGAAGTAACAGCGGACAGGAGATTGATGTTCTGATTTTCTCTCAGGAATGAAGTGATTTGGGCGGTTGAATCGAATATGGGAACTCTGAGATTTCCAGGGTTGCGAGCGAACCTGAAAGTAGGTGCATTGATCATATTCGTGTCGTGGTTGTGTCTGGCGGCGCTGTACAATCTGACAAAGCCGGTATCCAATGGCTGCGTCATGACTTACATGTATCCTACTTATATTCCCATCTCCGTGCCGGAGAATGTGTCTTCTACCAAGTATGGATTGTATCTGTACCATGAAGGATGGAAAAAGATTGACTTTGATGAGCACCTCAAGCAACTCACTGGGGTTCCTGTTCTTTTTATTCCCGGCAATAGCGGAAGCTACAAACAGGCATTTCCCACCCCCCCTCCTTATCTGCTTCCCCCTCCACCTGCACTGTTATTTAATTTGTATGGTTGAAGCCTAACCTAATGCATTTTGTTTTTTGGAAGCTGGTTTTCTTCGTTGTCTGCTCAATTTAAGTACTTGTGTAAAAAGAGTTTATGTTGGATTATTAGTTTGATGACAACTCAAATGTATGTGTATGTATATACAGGTGAGATCCATAGCTGCTGAATCTGAGAGGGCATATCAAGGCGGGCCCCTTGAGAAATCATTTTACCAAGAAGCCTTTGGAACTCCGGGAGGCAGTGTTCACTTTGATGGAAGGAGCAATCCGTTGCCCAGCCAGTATGCATGCATGCTTGACTGGTTTGCCGTGGACCTTGAAGGAGAACACTCGGCGATGGATGGTCGGATACTTGAAGAGCACACAGAATATGTAGTATCTGCCATTCATAGGGTATTGCTTCGTTTCATTTTTTGATACCGTGATCCTTGGATGCATGCTAATGGGCTGTGTGTAGTACAAGAATTTGGCCTAAGTTTTTCACTTATTTTTGAATCTCTAACCGTTTACAGCTCTTGGTTTTATTTTACCCAAAGAGGAAGTCTTGAGTTTTAGAGGAAACATGAGAAGTTTTGAGCAGCCCTTAATGTTAAAAGTGATCAGTGTTGTGAAAAATGGTAGTCTATGGCGGCCCCATATAGTGGAATTTTAGTTGTCCCCCATAATTTACCACTAATAATGCTACAAGAGATGCATTTCTTTATCCACTTCAAGTATTTACATTCCAAAAGTATTTCAGTGTGTGAGCCACCATTTTCGAGCATTTACTTCTTGCTCTCAATTTTTCTAAACTATTGAGTTTCAAGAGATGCATATTTTTTTGTTGTATTTGCTCTATCAACTTTTGTATTTCTCTGTTAATAATTTTCACATTCGTATTATGTCTGTCAGATCTTGGATCACTATAAAAATGCTCGTGATGCCCGAGTTAAGGAAGGTGCTAGTGTATCTAGGAGTCTTTCAAGAAGTGTTATATTAGTTGGTCATTCCATGGGTGGTTTTGTTGCTAGATCTGCAACTGTCCATCCACATCTGAGGAGATCTGCTGTTCAAACTGTCCTGACACTTTCTACTCCACACCAGTAAAATGCAGATTCTTGGAAGTTTTATCTTGATTGCAGAACATACATGCTGTGTAAACTGACTCTATGGTTTCCATATGTAGGTCACCTCCTCTTGCATTGCAGCCATCCCTTGGTCAGTACTATGCACATATTAATAATGAATGGAAAAAAGGGTATGAAGTCCAAACTTCTAGGTCTGGACGTTATCTGGCTGATCCGTTGCTGTCTCATGTTGTTGTTGTCTCAATTTCTGGTGGTTATTATGATTACCAGGTACGCACATCTACAGATCTTGCATTAATTATCGGAAACAACTGAATTTGTGAAATCATGGGAGGGAGCATAAAATAAACGGCATATGTCAATATCCGTTTTGATTACATTTTTGGCAGTCATATATGTGAAAGCCCTTGGTGTATTGAAAGGAAGCCTTGTGTAGCATGTTAATTGATTTTAAAGTTGTGGCTCTAGCTCCCAGAAACACATGAGATGAATGCAAAAGTGATCTTATTTTTCTTTATTTTTTTGTTTGCCTCTAGTCTTTAAGCACTGAATATGGCAATTCCATATTTTTTAGGTGAGGTGAGTTACCATGTTGCTTCACAGTAATTATTTCTACTTGCTTATGCGATTCTTTAATGTAGGTGCGGTCACAATTAGAGTCCCTTGATGGCATTGTCCCTCCCACCCATGGCTTTATGGTTAGTAGTACATGCATGAAGAATGTATGGTTGTCAATGGAGCACCAAGTCATATTGTGGTGTAATCAGCTTGTTGTGCAAGTGAGTAATGTTTCTCAGATGAATCCATATTGCTTTTACTACAGAAAGTTCTGAATGCTCCTACTTTTCAGGTATCACACACACTTCTTAGTTTGATCGATAACGAGACTCATCAACCCTTCATTGATGTACACAGAAGGCTTGCAATTCTTACAAGGATGCTTCAAAGTGCTATACCTCCAAATTTTGACTGCATGCAGCAAACACAGTTACCCCAACAATTAGCTCACATCTCTTCTAGTAACGGGAAACCTAATTATGGTATTCATATAATCATATTCCAGGCCTTGAGTATTTTTAATCCATATAAAATGCTCACATTTTTTCTTACGAGTATGTGCTCTTATACTTTTCTCAATAGTTGTCAAATCGTGAATTGAATCATGAATAATTTCATCACTTTTGATGGTTATCTGGTGAAAGGAAATTGCCAATTAGTGATTAACTGCTCCTTGGTTTCCATAATTTTTTATCCTAATAAAATAATGGACCTTTTTGTTTATTAATTTGTTGAGTTATAGGCTCTGAAGGTAGCAGTTATGCCTGTCCTAGGAGCACTCATTGGAGTGATGATGGACTTGAAAGGGATCTGTACATTGAAACTACTACTGTGACCATTTTGGCAATGGATGGAAGGAGACGTTGGCTGGATATTCAGAAATTGGTTAGCTCAAATTATAATTCAAGTCCATCATACTCGGACCATCTTTAACATGAACTTATTGCCTACCAACACTCTTCTTTATCTATGGTGACAGTGCTTCTTTACGTCCTTAACTATAAATTTGGCCGCTTTGTCCCTTGACTTTTTGAGATGTACCAAATTCAGCAGTAGAAGAGTATTTTAGACATACATTAGGGACTGAAATCAGTACATTTGCGTCTAAAAGTGGCCTTTGTCAAATAGATAGTTGAGGACCAAAAGTGGCAATGCCACCATAGTTCAGACTCAGGGGCCAACAGATTTAAGTGTTTAATGTTTGTTCCAATTGTTCCATTGAATGCATGCAACTTGTTCTGTAAACTTTAGTTGTTGATTAACCCCTCTGTTTAATACTCAGGGTGCAAATGGAAAAGCCCACTTTGTTTTTGTTACTAATCTTTCTCCATGCTCTGGGGTAAGACTACACCTTTGGCCTGAGAAAGGAACCTTGACATCAGATGTCTCTGTTAATAAACGAATTGTAGAAGTCACATCAAAGCTGATAAATATTCCTTCAGGACCCGCTCCAAGGCAGGTATTTGCTGCCTTAAATTCTTGTATTTTCTCAAGTGCTGCATAAGCATTTAATAACTTTGTTACTTTAATTGAATTATTCAATTTATAGATTGAACCGGGGAGTCAGACTGAGCAAGCACCTCCTTCTGCCATTTTATGGTTGCATCCAACTGATATGCATGGCTATCGATTCCTGACAATATCAGTGGCGCCTCGGCAGGTATTCTACTTTTATTTCTTTAAAATAAGCATTAAAATTTCAGCAATCGTTTCTACCATTTAAATATTTTGTTTGTTTTCCAAAATTATATACTCCCTCCATCCCATGATAATTTACTCTCTTTCTATTCTAAATAAATTCTAACCACTCACCTTACCACTTTTTTACATTTTTAACGTCTTATAACCACCTTTCTTAATCGTTGTGAAGTCAAAATGGGTAAATTAATCTGGGATAGAGGGAGTATTTTTTCAATTCTTATGTAGTTACTGTCTCTACCCTAAAAACATACCATATCGGCATATCTAATAGAAAAATATATATTCATATACTCCATTTGTCCCCATATAAGCTTCACTTTTACTATTCACACGGTCAAATTATTTCATCTTTATTTTTACTTATATACTTGCTTACATTAATCATTTGTTATAATAATTAATCATGTCACCTATTACTTTATAGAACTTTTGATCTAATATTAACAATGTAATTTTTTTAATTATACACCAATATTCAAATACATTGAATTGAAAACAACTTTGGTCAAACATCGTAAACTGTAAACTGAAGTTTATTTAAGGATGAGGGAGTAACATATACACATACATTATTAGAAAATTTAAATAAATAGTATATAGTAATATTGTAAAATATAAATATAACTTTGTAGGAGTGTTCAAATTTTTAGATTGTATATGAATCCGTGCGAAGCCTGAGGTTAAAACTAGTGTCTATGTTTGTGTATTGGTAATATTGCTGCCTTTGTCTTTGACTATTGTTTTACCCTTTTTCTTCTTTTGATTCTTTTTTTAATATCAACAATTTATTAACATTAAAGGTCTTTAAATTTTGAACATCGTTATAAATGTTGTTGTTTGATCTGTATGTGCATACAGTAACTTTCTGATGCTCAGACTGTTTCAGGAAGACCTCCGCCGGCCACTTCCATGGGCGTTGGACAATTCTTTAATTTGGAGGAAGGGAAAATTGAATTGTCTCCTAAATCAGTAATTCCTATGATATACACTCAAAAGGTTAGTATTTCTACTGTCGAGTGCATGAACTGGAAATCAGCTGCATGATTGATATTTTCGAAGTATTAATGGATCTGATGTGCAATGACATACAAACTGCAGGACATTCTGTTGAAGGAAGATCACCCTCTAGCAATCAATATTTTGTTCTCCCTTAGCTTAGGCATTCTGCCTGTAACATTGTCTGTCAAAACCACTGGGTGCGGGATACAGAAGTCAGAATTATCAGTTGATGAGACAGGAGACATGGATATTAGCAGTAAGAATATCTCCTCCCATCCCCACCCATGTTGACTTGCTCTTTGCTTTCTCACTCTAAATGGAAACAAAATTCTGTTCATCCAAGTTTGTACGAGTATTTTATCATTAGAAAGCCCAATGCATTTAGTTTTTAATGGTACGTGCTGAGCATCTGATCTAGAAGCACTTGCTGGTGGTGACTGTACTTGATTTAGATTTAAAATTTAGCCAAGAAAATCTTTCAGATGCTCTGATGCATGGTCTATGTTTAACTCCTGACATTTCTTTATCTTAGATCAGAGTATTTGGGCCCTGTGTGGCAACAAATTGTTAGTTTTTAGCTTTTAAATGTTTATATTCACTGTATGTGATAACTTTTTTGTGTCAGTTTTTAGAAAAAAGTACTCCCCCTATCCCCCATCCCTAAATAAACATCAACTTATGGTATACGATGTAATTATTTTCAATTCGAATATTGGTAAAATTTACATATTTTAAAACTACTTTAAAAAAATCTTTAAAACAAGAGGCGACATGTTTATGTTATTCTAAAAAATGATTAGAGTAGATATGTAAAGAAAGTATAGTTTGACCATGTGAATAGTGAAAGTGAAGTTTATTTAGGGAGGGAGAGATTATTAATAAGATGAGTTGATTGTAGTTTTTTGTGTGGTAAAAGCTTGTTTTTAGCTTTTTGGGACCAAACACCTATCCAAAAAACTTGTTTACCGAACACTTCTAATAGTGGTTTGATCATTGTCAAGTATCTCACATATCTTAAAAATTTCTTTTTAAACTAAAAAAAATCTCGAATAATGTCATCATCAAATACCCCTTCAATCTTCTGTTGTGTGAACATTGATGGACACTACTATGAATTGGTTTTTTTGGTATAAACTATGCATTGGTTTGATGTCACATATACTACTCCTTCCAACCCAGTATTTTGGTCCTATTTTGGCTTATGATGCTTGACTGAAGTAATTTTCAATTCAATTTATTTAATTGTGGGCGCATGATTAGAAAACAAAAGTATTTTTTTAAAGGGAATACATAAAATAATATTATAAAATAAATGTGTGTATTTTATAACTACATCAAAATCTCTATAAAGGAATAGGTGGTTTTACTATGTTCTTGAAACAAATGATTACTGAAAATAGCAAGGAAGAAGATATGGTTTGACCACTGGTGAATAGCAAACGAGACCAATATTATGGGACAGAGAGAGTATTATACTGTCAAGCTTCAGTAGTACTTAACAGATGCCTAGAAGGAAATACCTTTGAGCTCAGTATAATGGGACGGATGGAGTATTATACTATCAAGCATGAGTAGTAATTAACTGATACCTGAGTATTGTACTCCTAATGCTTATCTGATTAAATGTGCTGCTCATGCTCTATATCCATGGAAATGCAGGTCTTTGCAAGCTCCGGTGCTTCCCACCTGTAGCTTTGGCATGGGATGCCTCGTCTGGACTTACTGTTTTCCCTAATTTGTACTCTGAAATTATTATGGTGGATTCCTCTCCAGGGATCTGGAGTTCCAAACCAGGGTCAGATAAAACAATTGTATTATTGCTGGTAAGCAAACTGAAACAATTATCATTTTTGGTTCTACAGTATACATTTAGTCATTCAAGATGCTGTGTGAATTTCCATGCAGGTTGACCCACACTGTTCGTATAAAACTAGTTTTAACATAACTGTCACAGTTGCTGCTGGAAGGTTTTTACTTTTATATTTCTCTCAGGTGATAACTTGCTCCTCATTGTTTGATGTTTATGTTCTTTAGAACTTTCTCCGAATGGTTGTGATATGTTTTATTGGTTATCGTGGAGAAACTAAATTGAACTGACGCTAAAACAAGCTACTCATAGGCAATTGATAATAAATTTGAAGATTATATTTTTTTACCCATCCTACTTTTGGATGCCTTTTAACCATATATTACTTTGGCTTGTATATTGGGAATTTTGATGTCACTGTTTGAAACTTTTAAGTTCTAATGTGATTTATTTACAAGTCTTTGATTGTATGGCCTGCAGATTATTGGGTTTTCAATTGCTGTTATCTTTTTCGCTTTGATGCGGCAAGCATATGCATGGGAGCTTGACTTACCCATTCCTTCACTTTTTTCAGCTGTAGAGTCAAATTTGAGACTGCCATTGCCTTTTATCTCTCTAGGCCTAGTGCCTATTTTACTAGCTTTTCTACTTTCTTACCTATTCTCCCAGCCAATTGCTTCATCGATATTCTTCATTATCGTCTCAACCATTTGCTATTTATTTGCAAATGGATTAATATTGGTGCTGATAGCGATCTCCCTGTTGGTCTTCTATATAGCTGCAACCATACATGCCTTTGTCAAAAGAAGGTTAGTGCCTTTGTGTTTATGATTGCGCACAGAACTCTTATATAATGCTATACACTAAATCTTGCCGGTATAGTACTCTTATTTTTGTAGTTCCTTCGTTCCCAAAGAATGTCACCATCCACTATTCACTAATGGAGATAATAATAGTCATGTCACCTATTGTTTGTAGATCTTTAGATGTAATTTTTAAACACTCGTGTATAAATTTTATTTATACACCAATTTTTAAGTAAATTAAATTGAAAAAAAATTGAGTCAAGTGTCATTAACCATAAATTACTTTCTTTTGGGGACAGAAGAAGTGATTAACTGTTAAATATAACATGAATAAACATTACAACTTGCAATAAGAATGTTGGATTTTCGGAGGGCCAGGTGTTAGGTGAGGTTTGACCACGTTCCCATATAAAGTTTGGATCCACTTTCTAACCCAAAAGCTTAAGCCAACGGGTAGTGCTTGACCTTTCTTCATATGGGAGTTGTATTTTAATTTGTTGATGTGGGACGGAATCCCAACACCCCCTCAAGTGGTTACTAGCCTGGTCTAGTTACTACTTGGATGGATGAATGACTCTAGCATCTCAATCTCTTTATAGCTAACCCGGTAACTAGCCTGGTCTGTTAAATATAACAAGAATAAACATTAGAACTTGCAATAAGAATACTGACCAAGGCTTTATCAACCTAAACAATGACCTAATGATTTACAGGTGGCAAATATTAGAAAAAAGTGGGCGTTTTCACTTTTTTCATTGGTTCATGAATCTTCCATGTGCTGTTTTTTCATCTAAGGTAATTTTCATTTTCATTTTATATGCATAAAGATGATTTTTCTTAAACTTCATATTTTACAGTACAAAACTGCTTTGGCATCATGTTCATAAACGACAGAGAATTGTTTAGTCAGAAGTTCCTAGTTGTAAATCTTAGCAATTGAAGCTTCTGAACTCCATCAAACAAATTTGTTTTTGTAATGCCAGTGACTAACATTAAGACATCATATCAATTGATGATTTGATGTTTTATGCCTGAAGCAGGTGGCGAGGATAATTGCATCCAATCCTTCACTTGTTATTGCCATGGTTGCCTTTCCACTTACTTGCTTCGTTCATCCTGCATTGGGTCTCTTTTTGTTACTTTCTTCCCATGCTGTCGGTTGTCACAATGCTCTCTCGAGGTAAATTCCAAGCCAAGGCTTGTCTTTCCAGATATTTGGTCTTGGCTTGAGTACGTTGATCTTGTTCGGGACTAAAACCAATTGTTCTTTTTTTTTTGTAAACAGTTTTTTACTGGCCTCATTTCGCAGTCATGTGCAAACCGAGGAGTTACGAGAGTTTGGTGACGAAGAAATGAGTAAATCTAGTCAGCCCATTCCCAAGTTTAATGGTGAAACGAGTAAAACTGTTCTTCCCAAAGAAAATGTATCCGGTGCTGCGGAGAATGCAAAAAGCTACGCTGAAACACAGTTAGAGATTTTTCACCACCGACATGGCCTGCTTATATTGCATTTGCTTGCAATGTTAATGTTTCTTCCGTCACTTGTCGCCTGGCTTCAGGTATGTTTCCTTAGTTTAATGGTCTGCATACACTCCCCCCCTCCCCTAGGCCCTACTTTTAGTGGGATGTTACTAGGTTGTTGTGGTTTTTGAATCACAATTGCCCAGACCCCGATGTTGTGCGTACTGTTCTTATAGATATGGTAAAATGGATTCTTTATGTGCAGAGGATTGGGGCTGGCCAAAGCTTTCCACGGGCTTTGGATTCTGTACTCAGTATTGGTGTTCTGCTGCACGGAATTTGTGATTCCAGGCCTGAGTTCAACTTCTTCTTTCCCTTTCCGGGCATTCCAGGGTGGGAGATAAAACAAAGCTTGGCATATCTTCTCGCCGGATATGTATCATATCTTTCTGGTCTGGCCTTGGCTCCTTATAGCACATTTTATGCTATGGCTTCTGTCGGGGTTGTTTCGTTTGCTTTTAGGATCATACAAAGGAGGACTAGGGAGAAGGGAGAGATATGCCACCGTAGCAGCCGAAAGCATTCTCATAGACAATAACAGGTTCTTCTGTTTATCATGTCAGTTCTCTCTTTGAGTTGCACAGTTGTTTACCACCTAGCTAATGTTTGATATGACTATTGTATTTTCATGATTATTTTTTTCAATGGTATTGAGTGATTACATGTCTTGTTCTGAAGATGAAAAGTGTTTGCTCATTAGAATGCAGAGTCTGTCTTTAATTATTATAGGTAACAGAGGCTTCAAAAGCATGAATAATATTCAAATAATATGAACCCAACCCCCTCACACGAGTCTCTTGCCCGAAGTGCACAGTGGGAAAAACCGACCTCCTGTATTTTGATCCACGTCCACACGTGGTGGGTAATGTTGTAAATTCGACTGGACTTCAATGACTCGAGCACGTCCTTGATGTGGTCGTGGCTGTTGTCGTAGACGAACCAACGCTGCACCGCTATCTCCCCATGATACACTATCCATTCCTGCAAAAACCGAGCTTGGTTCTTTAACATGGTGCACACACACACACACATGTAGTGCTCTTTCCTTTGGCTCATCGGGCCGGGCTCTTTTAGTGTGACTTAGGGCTGAGGCACAGAGTCCAACGGGCCTTTCCCGGCCATTCTAACTGAATCCTCGATGGGGGTGTTGGTGTTGTTCCTTCTCCGCAGCTGCTGCAGGCTGTTGAGGAGGACGCTCGAAGGGGTTTTGCAACTTGGTTTTTGGGTGGTTGAAATACCAACAGTAGACGCATTTTAGGAAGAGGAGCCCCTCGTGCGGGGGGGAAATGACAATTTCTTGAACTGAGACCACCAACTTCGGATTCTCAAGAGAGTTGCTGCCGGTGTGTGGGGGCGCTCGGAGTGGGTGCCCCACCTTTTTCAAGAGAGTTTTTTTTTTTTTTTTTGCCGGAGATCCCTCCCCATGTCATTGCCGGTCGTCGTGGACAATACCCTGTTGTAATTATTAACTCATCAATCTTAACCCAAAGAAAATTTATTTATTTATTTATTTATTAAAAATAGTAATAGTAAGCCCACTCCTCAAGGTTCATGAGGATGTTCACCTAGGTTCGAGCCTAGTAGAGGCAAAAGTGTTGACTCTTTGTGCGTCATTAGGTTGAGAAATATATGCACAGATACTACATTGTATAGATTCAATATCATTCAAAAAACAATCGTAGGGACTCATAACCCTTACCAATGCACGACTTTTTTTTTGCTTTGAAAACTATTTTGAAATTTCGATTACAAATTTTAAAAAAAAGAAAAAAGAAATATGATTTTTAATATCAATAAATTTATTTTGAAATATTATTTTAAAATAGAAGTATCATATTTTCGTACAGAATAATATTTATTGATATGTAAATTGAGAATTTAATCTCGAAGTGTTGTCGAATAAATATTTATCTTTACGTTCGTTATTTTTTAATAATCTTAAGAAGTTTGTTATATATAGCAAGTTATTTTAATTTTTTAACAAGCTAGTCAAATTTTGTATAACCCCTTAAAGTATGAAATTTTGGAAAAATACTAAAGTAGAAATAAATCATTGAAAATATAACAAAAATATGAGTTCTATGTTTTTATTTTAAAATAGGAGTTAAAATATTTTTATATCACCAATCATGATCATATACTTTACAAAAAAGTATTGGGAAATGACCATGTACAATGCTACATTATGACAATGCAAACTCCTAGTTTGAGATAAAAACAGAGAACTCGTATTTTGGTATTTTTTAAGTTTTACTCTTATTTAGGGTGATTTCTTATAAATTTTAGTAAGAGCATCTTTAATCATATCGTTTTAGCATGCTTTAAGTTATAATATACTACCTCCGTCCCAGAGTATTTGTCCACTTTCATTTTTACACAACATCCAATATATTTCTTTAATTCATTTTATCTTATAATTTGTATATTAAAAAATTATAGAAATTATATATTACTCCCTCCGTCCTAAAACTATCTTCCCACTTCCTTTTTTTCTCCGTCCTAAAACTACCTTCCCATTAGAAAAAAAAGATGACAAATGACATTAATACCCTCATTTATTTACACCAATTATCTTCTAACTCTATATTTTGAATGATTGCAAAAAAAAATTCAAAAAATCTTTTTTTAAGGAGGGTAAAATTTGAAGTCAAAGCCAAAAATTAAAAATGGGGAAAAGTCAAACTGGGAAGAAAGAATTAGGACGGAGGGAGTAATAATCTATATGTTAAGACAAATCAAACAAGATCACACATGACTATATTTAGGCTTACACATTGAGAGAATTTGATGAGTCAAAGTACTTAGATGAACAGTTCCAAAAGTCAAAACTGGACGAATAATCCGGGACGGAGGAAGTAACTAGCTAAACATTTTTCTTCTTCTCCAAAGGGTATGCTTTATTTTAGCAAGTTTGCCAAAAAATGACTTTGGCTTGCAAAATATAACAAGTGTTTCAAAATTTAGCTAGCCAATGCTTAAAAAATAAAATAACAAATTATGGTTGGGGAATGAAACAAAAAAGTACTTGCTATATCACTATTCACTTGCTATAATGTAAAAATAGTAAATCTATATAACAAGTATGGTTGGAGATTCTCTAAACTTGTAAGATTATACCTCCACCGTCTCGAAATTGGTTACATTTTTTTCCCTTTCAACTCTCGATAACTTCTGTTTATTTATGTATTTTCATTGATTATTTAATAAAATAAAATATTCGTATCACTTCTTATTTTGTACTGCGTTAAACTTTTGATATAAGTTTTTAATATGTGTGAGTTTATGTTTTATTCTTATACCAATTTTAAACATAACAATTTCAAAAAACAATTTTTTTTTGCAATGCAAAAATTGTAATATAACTTAGGAACGGAAAAAATAATACTCCGTATATAGTAAGTCATTTTGATATGATTGGAGTTGCTCTTAGTCATTGTTTTTTGGTATGACTTTAATTTTTTTACTCCCCTTATCTCAATTTAGATAATATATTTCTGATTATAATATTTGATTGAATAAATTTTTTTAAAAAAATTTTTTTAAAAAAATTTGGGTGAGATTAAAAACTAAAATTTATATATTTGAAAATAATATAAAAAGTTGGTATAAGAATATTTGAAAACTATATTTGGCACGTTCTCATGGTTCTCCCTCTCAATTTCATCATGTAATTCATTCCACAAACTTTACCAAACTCTCTCTCTCTCTATCAGTATGAGATTTTTTTGAAAGGACATCTACGAAAATTACTCCACTCTGTCCCACTGTCTTTGTCCACTTACCTTTTGACACACCATCCAATGCACTTCTTTAACCCATTTTATCTTGTAATTTCTATATTAAAAAATTATATATTAATAATCTATATGTTAAGACGAATCAAACAAGATGACACATGACTATTTTTATTCTTACACATTGAGAGAATTTGATGTGTCAAAGTGCTTAGATGAACAGTTGCAAAAGTCAAAACTGGACAAAGACAATGAGACGGAGGTAGTAATTGCTAAAGAGTAGGGAGTACATTTGATAGAGCAAAAAAATTGGAAAAAAAACATGGCCTCATAATAAATCTGGTTGGAAACTTGCACAAATACTCCGTACACAAAGCAAGAACCGTAACGTTGGAAGAAAGTGGAGGGTCCCACCCACAAGTGAACGTCCGGCCAACTGCCACTCAACGTATACCTCTCTTCCACCCATTCCTTCTTCCTTCTTTTATCCATTTGAATTTCAAATTTAAACTTTAAATTTCTCACTATGGTTATGCTGCATGTGCCACCGAAAAGATTCTTTCTTTCTTTCCCCCTTCCCTGCCCTTCCTCCTCCTCACTGTCGTCTTCTTCTTCTTGTCCAGATGTTTTTCTTTTCCTTAAATAATAAGCTTCCAAATTACCAGACCTTAATAAAGCTCCTCTGTTCCTCAAAGGCGGCCGTTTCTTGAATCTTTATTTTTTTAAATTGCCCACCCCACCGGGTCACTCTCTGATCGATCTACAATTCCCAGCTTGCTGGGGACAACAATGGCAGACTCGGCTTGTCTTATTCAAGCTTTCTCATACGCTTCTGCGACGCCCAATGAAGCCAAACAGGTAACTGATACAGTAATTAGTAAGTAAGAACTGCGTACCGTTCAATCATCTCTCAAGATTCGATCTTTATTAGTGGAACATTCATTCATGGAATTCTTGTGCAGGGGAACGCCATTCACGCGCTGGGAGAATCCATATCTTTCGGCCGGTTCATGTCGGAGTCTCTGGCTTGGGAGAAATGGTCCGCCTTCGCCCACAACAACAGCGGCAGCAACAAGTATGTAGAGGAGGCCGAGAGCTATGCCCGACCCGGTTCCGTCGCCCAGAAGAAGGCTTTCTTCGAGGCCCATTACAAGAGAATCGCTGCCAAGAAAGCAGCAGCCGCCGCGTTGGCCCTTGAACAAGCCAATGCCTGTGCGGCAGCCGGTGGCGACGAGGAAGAAAGAAGCACTCAAGCCGACAGTGATGTCCGGGCCGGAGACGAGGCCCAAGAAACAGCTTCTTGTTCAGAAGAGGTCAGCGAAACGCCCCAAATGGAGAGACCCTTGTTAAAGGTACAACCTTTTTTTTTTTTTTTTTTTTTTTTGAGTTTTTGGTTTAGTCAATTGATATGAATCAATCACCAATTTATCTGCATCCGGATCTCTGGTATGATGTGAATTATGATGACAGAGCTGTTCGAAGAAAAAAGAAGTAGAGGAAGAAGAAGAAGTTTCATCAGCTCCTGTCATCACTAAGAAAAGACCAGCCCCTTCTACTCTGAAGATGCAGATTCATGGCAACGCTCGGAATAAAGTTCCACCGCCTCCTCCTCCGCTCACGGCAGCAGTGCGGCCCACCACCATACAAACTCCTCCAAACAAGAAAGAAAACATCACAGCCGCCACCCCAAAAAGGATACCTCCAGCAGTGGTAAAAAGTTGCAGTTCATCACTCTCCCTCAATGCTGCCAAACCCAATCCACCTTCGAAACCTCTCAGCTCCCTGCTGAATCTAACTCCGCCGCCAGCCAAAGAACCCCCGCCGCCTCCTCCAACAAACAAGGACATCATCCCTCGGTGTGCTCCCAAGAAATGCTCAACACCTATTCTCGGGATGATGACTCCAATGGTAGTAATCTTTCACATCAAAGCAATCCCAGTTGCTTGAATTGTTCAATTAACCAAGCATTAATCTAATCAAATTTTTGTTCCATCAGCAGCAGGAAAAGCCAGTTAATCCCGCATCAGCTTCAAGAAGTTCTAAAACATCTGCCCCCAAGTGGCACCTTCTAACTTCAGTGTAAGTCACCCCTGGTTTGGCTGCATTTTTGTTTGTATGATGATTTTTGATGTTCTTTCTCACGAGATAGTTATGAATGTGCGGCGCTTGCAGTTGCGCCAAGTCATTGACGGCCTGCCGGAATAAACTGCGCTCCCCTTATACTAATACTAGTCTAACACCCACCCCTTTCCGCCTAAGAACAGAAGAAAGAGCCACTGCAAGAAGGAAACAAGTGAGTTTTAGAATGTTAAATTGATTTCCTTTGGCTCCTTATTATAAAATGCACACTATATTGGGGGGAATGAAGTTGATTGATGAGATTATCATGGAATGGGTTATATGTCTGATTTTAGAAACTGGAAGAGAAATTCAATGCCAACAAGGTGGAGGAGGTGGAGGTACAGAAGGTGCAGCTGCAAACCAAAATGAAGGTCTACTTAACCACCTACCTTTTCATCTATCTATTCTGATTGTTGAGGTTCATTTGAAGGATCATCATGAAAGGTGGCATAAAAATTAAAAATCAATGGTTGCAGGAGAAAGCAGGGACGGAGCTAAGGAGGAAACTGGGTCAAAGCTTGTGTTTCAAAGCCCGCCCTCTCCCTCACTTTTATCATCACAAGGATGATACAACAAGAAGAGGAGAAGAAGTTCCACCACCACCACAACCACCTGCTGCAAAGCGTCAACAATCCCCTAAGGTTTCTTTCTCTCTTTCCTCTTAATAGAAAAAGAAATCTATTAATGCGGACGGGGCAACATGGTTCTCTTCCAAATGCTCCACAAATTCATTGTCTTTGTGTTGATCTGCAGAAACCGGGAGCGACACTGCAGCCTCCTTCTGCTCAACCCCTTGCAAGAAAGAGTCGACCTAAAGGCCCCCATCATGCAAGGAAAGTCAGGAGTTCACAAGAATCGTGATACCTCCTCAGAGCGCTGCCTTTAAGAGAAAAAAAAAAAAACTAAGAACACAAGAACTATGCTGATGAATGTAGTGTAGAAAATGCTAACTTGTTGCGCCCGGATTAATTGTTGCTTGACAATTGCCATCCATCCAGGGTTATTACAAATTTAGAATCAAGGAGACATGTATAAACTGATCAAAAACAACATTTCTTATTCTTATTCTTAATAGCATCATCATCATCATCATGATTTCTTCTCTGTAATATTGTTTTTGTAGTTGGTAACAGTAATAGAAATAGCATGGATGTCTAGTAATTCCGGATTGCCCCGCACAGTCATCCAATACCCAGATCGCATTCAGCTCATTGTGCATGTTGTTGTTAATGGGGAACTTAGTTTTAATTTGTCCAACCACACATTTTCATTTCCGTCCCGTTTCATCATCTTCTTGTTCTTCTTCCCCCAATTGGGAAGTAAAAAAGCCAGGAACCAAGGTCGTCATAGATATTCATCGTCGTCATCTGCAGCCTCGAGATGATCTGTGTAGTCAACTCCAGCCAGATGGTCCAATATTCCGGTGGCGGAGAAGCCAGGAACGTCGTGGCAGGGTTTGTAATGGTGATTGCCAACCCGCCACGCAATGGATTTATTGTCAGCAACAGCGTCGGCGGTTCTCTGCTTCAGTGTCCCCTTGGCCTTGCCCTTTGCTTTGCCGGCGGCGGAGGTGACGTGGCACTCGAGACATTTTGCACGGGCGCACCTTCCGGTGAACTTGGAGTGGTTGGTGGGCTTGGAGGAGACCCTGGAGAAGGGACCGGCGGTGGGGGCGCTGCAGGAGGAGGAGTAAATGTGTTTTGGCTGCGGCGGCCTTGGGTGGTGGTTCAGAGGGGGAAGGACGGGGCAGGTTGGGACCAGGCCGTGTTGGCGACCCTCTCGCTTCATTGTATTGTTGTTAGAGATCGATCACTACAATTTGCTCCATCGGCTATGGGTGGATTGAATCAATAAATACACAGAGAAATCAACTGCCGGAAGAAGAAAAAGGAGGAGGAAGAAGTTGGGATGCAAGCCGGGGGTGGGGTGGGGGTGCTGCGTGCGTGTTGCCCAAGTTGTTGTGCTGCCCACGTTTGCTTGAATTCCACGAATTGGGGTATTGAATAGGGCTCTTCATTTCTGCCGGATCAAGGATGGAGGGGAATTTAGTTAAATAACACTAAAACATAATAATATTTTTTTCCTAAATAGCATTATATATGTTTTTTTCTAATGTACTCCCTCCGTTCCCCTAAGATGTTCTTATTTTGACTTTTGGTGGTTTTTAAGGAGAGTTGAAAAAAGGTAAAAGTTTACCATAATACCCTTAATGAAAATGGGTGGAGTTTATTAAATGAGGTGGGTGAGGTGTAATAAATAAAGTAAGTGGGGGTAGTTGTGGTATTTTAATTGTTAAAAAATGAAATGAGAAGATCTATTGTGGACAAAGAAAACAGGGCTTTTGGGAAGATCTATAGGGGACGGAAGGAGTACCAATTTTAGTCATTATCCATTAGTCATTATTCAAGTAAATATTCGACATCATTGGACATTATTCATCCTTCTATACATTATTATGTGTTATTTAGGGAATAAAACAATTTAAGTGCTATTTAGGAAAATGACTTAAATTTTAGTCTCACGTTTTGCCTAGAGATGAATAGGCTATGACTATCAGTACGACCGTCAGTACGGTAGAAACATTATTTTTTATGCGTGACTCTGTAAAGAATGAGGTCAATGATAGGATCAAAATTATTGGGTTATCCTAACCCAACTCTTGGGTTTTTAAAAAATAAAGTACTTGCACTAATTCAATCATATCAAACTCCAAATCTTCACAAATGAAAGTTGGAAGGGTAAGCGCCCACTCTAGAAAAACAAGACATGGAGTCAAATGCTCAACCAACAAGTGAATATTTTGATTTACAGATCTAGTAACAACCGACAAAGGGATAAGAAAATTCTTTCGTCAATTTCTTACTCATAATCAATGTCTCTGAAAAATGTGAGATATTATCCTTCCTTGCTTGCAAAACAATAAAGAGTGTTTGATTATCCATCTCAATAGTGATCTTCGGTAGCATATATTCTTCCTTGAGCAACTTAATGCCTCACATACTCCCATTGCATCTTCCATATGCACATTCTCTATCATTCCCAAACCATAATGTGCCTCTCGACCGAAAAATCCAAGATGATGGACCTAGATCGGCAGGAGCCATCTGTAGTCTTTCGTAACGAGTATGAGGGTCAAATCAAAGCATTTTCAAGGGATGTAAAGCCTGGGGTTCACAAGAATCATGATACTAATAAACATGAAGAACACAAGAATTATATATGGTGATGAAAGTAGAATATAAACTTGCTTGCTAATTAACGGGATCGTACTAGTCTTATATTTTTTTCTGTCTGGAGTAATTGTTGCTTTCCATCCCGGGTTGGTTATAAGGATCAAGGCCATTCGAGGGGACATAATGTAAAAACTAATACGGAGTATTTAAAAAAACAACATTATTATATTTATTAGGGAGATTTAGGTTTATCATCGAACACAAAACATCATGATTGATTACATATACTAATGGTGTAGCAATAGGAATAGATCGAATTGATGTGTAATTGAAACCATGCTCACATCATCTTCATCTTGGCCTTCATCTCTGGCCGGCCAATTTCATCATCATCATCTTCATGCTCTTCCCGGCCCCAATTCAAGGAGGAGTTAGTTATTCTTCATCATCATCAAGATCGTCGGTGTAGTCGAGGCCAGCCAGGTAGCCCAGTATTCCGGTGGCCGAGAAACCAGGAACGTCGTCGTCGTGACGGGACCTGTAATTATTATTAGGAGCAGCATCCACCCGCCACGCGATCGATTTGTTGTCAGCAGCAGCATCTGCGGTCCTCTGTTTCAGCGTCCCCTTGCCCGCCGCCGCCTTCTTATTGCCTTTTGCTTTGCCGGCGGAGGCGGCAGATCCGACCTTTTGACAGTCGGGACATTGGGCACGGCCGCACTTTCCGGTGAACTTGGAGTGGTTGGTAGGCTTGGAGGAGACCCTGGCGAACGGGCCGGCGGCGGGGGCGGTACAGGAGGAGTAAATGTGTTTAGGGCGCGGCGGCCTTGGGTTCAAAAGGGAATCGGAAGGGGGGAGGACGATGACGGGGCAGGTTCGGACCACACCGTGCTGGCGACCCTCTCTCTTCATTCTCCTCACAACTCGCTCCGGATGAATGATCGAATCAATCAATGAATGAATGGCCATTTCAGCGTGGATTGAATCAATATATTTATACTGTAAAAGGGAGCCAGGGAGGGGAGGGTGTGTGGCCCAAGTTGTTGTGCTGCCCACGTTTACTTGCATTACACGCATTTGGATTCATTTCCCACGTTTATTTTGCATTTTATGATTCCTCAACTTAGATTTAACACAAAATCACATTGGACTTTTTAAATAACCCATATAAGTTAAAAATAACGTCATTCAAATATCGTAACTTATACTCCCTAGCTAATAGAAGAGTTAAATCTTTTTGGGAAAACAGTACAGGTATAGGTGTCGGACCAAGTTAGCTGCAATGTTGTGGTGAACAAAGAAAAAAAACATTCCAATATCCCCTCAATTTCATTAACACAGTCCAATGTTAGATGGGGCAGTTTCATAATAACGTTACGACAAACTCATTACATTAATGTCGTTAAAAGAGAGAGAGAGAGAGGAAGGATTTGTTTCATTAACGAATGTACATTAGCAACATTGGTAGCTAGAGTCAGTGCCATTCTTTGCAGCATTGCACGCAGAGGGGCGGGCGCTTCCGGATGTCGCAGTAGCAGCAAGCTATGTCGCAGTCATTGTTGCACCCTAACAACACACACACACACACACACACACACACACACAATCAAATCCAAACACACACACAAAAGAAGTCGTCTCCGCGTACATGTGGTTAGGGAATGGGAAGGAGCTGACCTGTTACGGTGATGTACTCTGCAGCGGATTGCTCCAAACGTCTAGGATCTGTAAGGGGGCGTGCGGTTGCTTGGACATCGTTTCCCTGTGACCACAAAATCCAAAGCAGAATCACACTACTACTACTTGCTGCTACCAACCTGCAGCACATCTTCATTCCTGATAGATCTGTTTTCTGGATTATATTAGCTGCTTGGTTCGTTCAACTTTGCTCATCAAACCTCAACAATAACCACATTTATATAGAGAGAGAGAGAGGCATCGAGTGTGCTATCGATCAATGTTTATAAAACTGTTACAAATCAAACATGTGATCACAAATAATAACATCTCAATATCACACAAATCATTCATTCATTCCATGTGAAAAAGGGCATTCGAATTCGCCCATATTCTGTATGTCATGCACTTTAAATTAAATCACAACAAGGATATTTATAAGAAAAACAGATAAACAATCATAACCACGGACGGACATAACTCTCTCTTTTGTTTTTCTTTGAAAATGCAAATTCTTGAATGACAAAGAACAAACTTTACACAATGAGGAGGAAATTTTAAGCCCCTCAAGATCACTAGAAGCTATAATCAAAACCATATAGACAATCGATTTGCTCGGTTACTAATGCTGGATTTCAGCTCTTCCCCAAAGAGACTGTCTGAGCCTCGGGGTCGGATCCATTTTTGCTGCCTTCCAAAGATTTCTGGCTAAAAATCCGAGCAAACATGCTCCTTGACCTGGGGATACTTGAAGCTTCTGCTCCACACGTTCTGCTGTCACCATCCTTCTTTGCAGCCAGTTCATTTAATATTGCCTTCATGCTGCTGTCAAAGCGCCGCCTATATGTTGGGTATCTCGATATGGATTTCGTTATCCCATGAAGTCTTTAATGACATAACAAAAACAAAAAAATGGGGAAATCAGAACAGACACTGATAATCGTTAATTATGCAGAAATCAAAACATACACGAAGCATCACCTTCGAGCTAATGCATCAAGCTCAGCCCGCCTTATCTCAGATGCAGGTTTCAGCAGATCAATGTTCGATCTATTCAACCTCTCAGAATCCCCATACAACAGGACCAATTTGCCGAGGTACTCCTCTTCGGATTCAGAAAGGTTGTCAGCCTTGATCTGGTCTTTCATGATCAGAAGCGGATTGAGAAACCAGTCATAAAAAGCATCTTTAGGCCTGTTTGTGCTACTTATCTCGGTAGTACTATTATTATCATCTTCTGCAATGTTCATTTGGCACACAGTCGGCGATTTGATTATGAGGCAAACCAATCGAGACAGAGAGATACATGAAATAAATCTAACTTACTTAACAACAAACCAGAGGAGTTGGCTTTAGCAGAACGTAAGAGTATCTGAAGCACACCAAAAGCAGGTAGACCTATACTTAAGATTCGCCCAATGTCCTTATTAGACTTGGCATCTTCAATATCTTTTTGAGTCAACACTCCTTCAGATACTAATATTTCCCCGTAACGTTGACACTCTTTGAAAAACCCGTTAGCAAACTACAAGAGTACATACATAAAGGGCAGAGTCTTTATTGCCTTACTAAAAAATGATAAATAAGGTTAATGTGGGAAAGTACATTTTTAAAAAAATTCTACCTCAATGTGTTTCAACTCAACCATAGGTGTGTTGTGAGAAGAAAATGAATTCCTGAAAGAGGTCGGCCTTGAGAAAGACGCTGCACGGGAGCTGGTTCTTGAGTAGGTCCTCGTTCGGTATTGGGGCCTGTATGGATGGATCTCATATTTCAGAACTTCAAGTGTTAACTCGGGTATTAATTAGAAAAAGAAGTGTAACAATATATATATCTGGATAACAAGAAATAGGCTATCATGTTGAAAATGACTGTAATTGTCAGAAATCCAGAACCTAGGGAAGCATGATCCTTCAGGTAAGTCAAGAACATCATTGCTATACTCATCATATATGGATAAAGATGCGACAATGTAGCAGAGCCCCAACCAGAAAGAACTCTCCTGTATAATATGTCGTTGAAAGGAGTTACAACCTCTCACACACCTCTCAGAGGAAAAAAAAATACTGACACGCCAGTTTTGACATTTGAGTACCACAAGAGTCAAACCAACCTGGTAGACAACAGCTCCTGCATATGCACCGAGGAAGATACTAGATACCATGGAACCTAACAATGCACCAGCAACCGCCAACGGCCAGAGCAGGATGGCAATCCCAGCAAAAGGCACACAGATTGTCTCCAAGAAAGGGCCCTCCCGTCCTATACAATCATGAAACAAACGGTGCCATCCTCTAAATAGCATGTAAGGGGTTTTGTAAGCAGCTATCATGGTGATCATTGGCATATCTACAATAATTCCAAGCAAGCCACCAATTAATGTTCCAGGAAGATAAAGCAGCCTGCAGAAAAACAAGGTGCAGATATTCTTATTCTTCTTTGAACATCCCAAAAATGTTTTTTTTTAAGTTGAGAAAAAAGATACCTAAATTCATAATATTTTCCTGCCCCTTGAAGCCGTAGATCATCCATAAATGAAAAGTAGGAATGGTAACAAACATCCCCAACATCCCTAACAATGGTAAAGCTCCGTTTGACTGTATCCCAAGTACCATCCTAAAAAAAACAATGGAATTTACATCCATGAAACTGGTACAAGAAAAAACGAGGATAACCATTTGGAAGACATCTTCAGAAAAGAAGTTTGAGAAGCATACACATATGCAGTGATAAAATTTGTTATCCTTCCCAGGTTCAACAGCTCGGGAAGTGGCAAGCATGGGTGAGAAGAAACCATATGCTGCCCCACCAATAATGCTGCTCGCAATTGCAATCACTAACCACAACGATAAAACAACTGGAAGACATATGCAGATAACCGCTTTCAAGACCGGACCTAGTTGTTTTGTGCTGCAGATGATTATCGGAAAGTTTAAAGAAGAAGAAGAAAAAAACACTTAGTAAAACCAAAGTAGAGAGAGGCAATCTGGAAGTGCAATTTTGTTAAAGAGCGCACCTTAAGATGGAGTAATATGTGTAGAACAGGTGTACCGGCCAAAGGCCTAAAACCACAGCAGAGTTTCCAATGGTAATAATAAGAAGTATAAACGGACACAGAATTGAACCTGGAAAACAAGGGAGGGAGTTGCTTAATTTTTCCACCATCATAAAAAAGACTCAAAATTGTTTTATTTTCTCAGAAAGAAGTGTTAAGAATCTATAAGCAATAAAAAAAATTTCAGACTTAAAAGAAAGTAGCCTAAATACTACCTTGGTGCGTACAATATATTGTAGGTAATTGTTTCTAATGAATGGCATCACATGTGAAATGTGGTCTTGTGCCATAATGCTATTGCTTTAGATTGTTTATACCATATAGGCACACCAGAAAAGGAAAAAAACTCAGCCATGTTGGGCATCTATACATACATTAAAAAAACACAATTTATTACTATCATAGCAATAATATTTGGGTTTGGACCACCTGAAGCCGGCAACTTCCACCCTTAACATGTAAAAAGAGAATATTAGCTATTTAAGCAAGTTTCTTGGTAAAAGAGTACTCCGTATTAAAGAAAAAGAACAATTCGAGAAAAGGTTACCCAGCATAAAATTGGAAAAAAAAAAAAAGGACACTTGAAACTAATATGGAAATGGGCATAAATCAGATTGGAATTAATATCGGAATGGGGGAGAAGAGTGAAAAGGAGTGACCTTTAAGAAAGCCAAGAATGAGAAGGGCAATGAAGTAAGGGAGAAAGCGTATGAAGTTGCAGAGGGATGCGAGAAAGCCCCTTGGGGGTTCCATACTGTAATGAAGATTCAGACCCAACTCTCACATCTGAGTTCAGGAAGTGTGTTGAGCCTTTCTGGCTTCAACCCCTCTTCTGCGTGAACAGTGGGCCCCCTTCTTCGTCTTCTTCTTCTTCTTCTTCTCTGAGATTGAATCTATCTGCGGAAGGATGGGAACTGTGAATTTTCATTCATTCATGATGATGAAACAACGCAGTTTATGTGATGTAAGTAGTGCAGGCAGTAAATAAAATTAACCGGATTGAAGAGTGAAAGCCTCCCTCCCGTCCCGTCTGGTCACGGGAAAAAACACGCTAGGCACAGACTAACATATATTCCCACGTCTTGTTTTATTCATCTACGAGTAATTTTTTTCTCTTTTTCGGTGGGGTTTTATATTTTTTAATTGCTCCGGAGTATAGTAGAGGTGGAGGAATTTACTTACTAATCCTCCCCTCCAATAAGATTTCGATGTTTGACATTGTTTGGTCAAATATATATTTCCAGCATTAATAAAATACTTTCTCCGTCCCAAAAAATGTCCCAAAAAATATCACAGTAACCATTTCAGTCTCTTGATAACTTTTACTTATTTACTCATTTAATTGACTATTTGATAACATAAAATATTCTTCTCGTATCTTTTATTTACTTTTGATTTACTTTTAAACGTTGTAACTCTTACTTGTTATTTCTCGATTAATTTGTAAATAATAATAATTTTAAAAGATGTGATGCTTTGCACGTCCTTCAAAATATTGCAAACAATTTGGGACAAAAGGAATATAATTTTGAATAAATAAATATTATAAACTACATATTGAATTTATAATATACCGAAATAAAATATCAAGTTTTTTCAATTCATTTTATTCACATATTGGTATAGAAATAAAAAAATAAAATTTACATATCAAAAAACTACATGAAAAGTTCTTCAAAATAAGAGGTGTCATAAATATTTTATTTTATCAATTAACCAATGAAAATGTAGAATTAATCAAAAATTCTCGCGATTGCTTAAAAAACAAATGTGAGATATATTTTGGGAAGAGGAAGTATAGATTTGGCGTTAAGAATATACTCCCTCCGTCCCAGAGTATTTGTCCACTTTCATTTTTGCACATCATCCAATACACTTCTTTAATCCATTTTATCTTGTAATTTGTATATTAAAAAATTATAGAAATTATATATTAATAATCTATATGTTAAGACGAATCAAACAAGATCACACATGACTATATTTAGGCTTACACATTGAGAAAATTTGATGAGTCAAAGTGCTTAGATAAACAATTCCAAAAGTCAAAAGTGGACGAATATAGCGGGACAGAGGTAGTAGGTCATACGGGAGTGAGTAATATTGAATGGGGCAATCTGCAAATTATAAAGAGGGGAAGGAAATTCATTCCAATGTTTGTTTCTTGCAAATTACTCAACACTCAATCTCGGAGCTTTCTTTATTTTGGTTGTCCTAGAATCCGATTCTAGGCATCACAACTCACTCTCAAATGAAAGAAGAGGAATTGTACAAATGTTACACATCCAGCAAGATCAACAGCTCACAAAATGTCTGTTTTTCTCTTCTTCTTTTTACCATAATTTGTTCTTCCCACATTAAGGAATGTATCAGGCGGATCTTCTGGCCAATATGAAGAACGCAAGTACCTTTGAGTACTGGTACCTTCCTTAACATTTCATTACTGATGAAGTCGAATGTGAATCGAAACATGTAAACAAAAAGAGCAGCAGAGAGAGTTTTAGGGTAAAGAAACAACCTGTCATTAAGGCATAAGAACCCTGGTGAAAGGAAATGTAGTCTTACAGGAGAGGTTTGATTCATAACAATTTCCCGGTTTCGCTGTACTTTCAAGCAGCTCACCACAATGAAAGAAATTAGGGGCTGAGATAAGTTGTTTGCATAAATTGAAATGAGCATATGTTGTTGTCAAGTCAGATGCCAATGCCAACTACTACATTGTTATGTTTCAGTTTGAAACCTCAAGAAAATGAATTGAAAATACAAACAGATATCAGCTATTCATTGCAGAGAATGGAAGTAGCTCGCATTCCATCCCTAAACCACAGCAGTCACTATACTCTGGTGGTTGCAAAGAGCCTCTAGATGCATGTTCATAAATGATAAGAGCCCTAATCCACAGCAGTGACTAGACTCCGGTAGTGGACCGACTGACTGACTTATTCATGTTCTCAAACCACCAATCAAATGAGTAGAAGCCAGATTAATGTTCATATACTAATAACAATAATAAAGAATAAGAACCTAGATGCATCTGCTTTGTACATCACTACTCCTATCCATATTAGCTTCTTGTTGTCCAAACATTGTAATTTTGGGTAAGCCTCAAGGCTAATCTAGTGAAGGTTTATTTTATAACCTTAACAGTATGAGCCTGTGTCACTGTGTGTCTAACTTTTTGTCGTCTATCAACTCAATTCATGTCTTTAAGAGAGAACTCGAACAAATATACTAAATTCTTCACTGGCAACAATAAACATCATTGTCTATGCTTGTTTCATATATGAGAAAAACCAATGAGAATTCAAAATTTTGGCAGCAACTATACGAATGCACATTGATGCAATCCTTTTTTCCAAAGAAAATGTCATCAATTCATATATGTGCTGTTGAAAGTTCAAACTCAACATAAAGAACTGCATGTTATGCAAAGGTGAATGGAAGCAATGAGAATGGATATAATAAATAAGAAAAGACCACTTATTTCTTTCTGCGATAGAAATCCAAAGGATGGGGAATTGCAGATAAAGAAACGAAACGCATCCCCACAGATCAGAAAGCAAAAATGTCCTCACAAGATCAAGAAACTGGCAACGAAGAGCACTACGTCTTCCTCCTGAGCCGCTTCCTCAGCTTCTTCAGTTTGTGCTTGTTCATCTTCTTCTTCCTCTTCTTCTTCACACTGTCGGCCCATATTTCCGGCGATTCTCGCCGCGAAGCAACGCCGGCATCCTCGGACGGAAAGATGAACCCGGATTGGGAAATCGGAACTGGGTTCAAGAAATAGTCGAATGAAAAGGTGGGGTAGAGAAGCGAGGAGGCGTTCGTGTTTGAATCATCTTCTCTTTTGGGTTTGAGGAAGATGGGGTTTTGGGCCGTTTCACTGCCAATGGTAGGCGGAGGTGCGCTGGGAATCTGGGTCTGAGATTTGTTGAGCAGAGTGATGAATCTTGTGGCGGGTTGAGATCGATTTCTGAGAACCTTTCCCAGAAAAGAAGCCATTTTTTTAATTGAGGGAGACGAAAGTGAAGGGTTAGCAAAAAAAATAAAAGACAGAATGAATTGTTCTTCGATTAGGGTTCTTGGGCTTTTTTAAGACCAATGGAAAACTAAAATGTACTGCGTACAAAAATGCGATTAAAAAAAAATTAAATTGCCCCCATGCAGGATCGAACTACAGACCTCCAGTTTACAAGACTGGCGCTCTACCACTGAGCTATAAGGGCTTCTTGTTTCTACGTTTTAACTTAGCAAATTACAAATACTAAATAACCCTTTATGTTGTCCTCCTCAATCTCAAATTAATCTTCTCAATTAATAATTGTATCATCTTGAAAACTTATATTTGTATGTAACTTTCAATTGATCATTTTATAAAACAAAATACTCTTACCATCACTTATTTTATGGAATTTTTAATATAATTTTGAACGATATAATTTATACGGAGTAATTTTTATTTTAATATTAATTTATAATTAAATGATTAAAAAGATATTAGAAAAATTAATTGGGACGAAGGGGTTTTTTTCCTTTAGACTAGACCCACCACTCTTGGATAAATGCAGAGTAGTTTTAAGTTTTGGATGATTTTGTTATACACCCTAATAGAATTAATAATATTCTCCTTCAAAAAAAAGAATTTATAGTAACAAAGAGAAACCAAAGGGTAAAACTAACCGGGAAACTAAAGGGTAAAACTAAAGGAGTTTCTACATTGATGTAAGCAAGAGTTCATTTTTCATACTCCTATTAAATTGAAGTTTTCATTTATTTTTGCATGGATTTCAAAAGGAGTAAAATTGTGTTATACTCCCTAGAGATTTATGTAGATATGAAATAAATAAACTGTTTCATAAATTATTTCCTTGAAAAATGATAATTAAAAAAAGTTTTAAAAGGAGGGAGTATGTAATTCATCTACCCCTGTCACTTGTTATTTCGTCCAATACTTTTTTCGATTCAAATTGGACAAATCACGATCATCAATTATATGAGAGTAAATATTTTATTGTATATTAGTACAAAAATAATATGATTAGATTTATACTATGAAAAACTGTCAAAGACATACTTCTTTGTACTCCGTTATAATATATATAGTACAAAGTTTACGTCTCTTTATAACACAAATTTAATGTAAGTGATTGACTTAAAAAACTAAAGGGAACAAATACTCTAGAAGCCTCTATAACACAAATTTATTGTAATTGATTGATTCGAAAAAACTAAAGTGAACAAATACTCTAGGAGAAACATTTAAGTTACATCAGAATCACAATATATATCAAAAAAATTGGAATCCAAATTCTACATAAGTTACATCATCAAAATATTATCCCTAAGAGAAACATTTAATCCTCTATGACTTCAATCCTATCCCACAAATCCACAATACAAGTGGATAGAGACTCATGTTCCAAGGTCATCTTTTCTAAATCAACCTGGTGAGAAACTAAATCACAAACAGAACAAAAATCCTTTGAAACACAGATAGCAGCTGCAACCCAATACAACCTCCACCATCCTCCAGCGCAATCACGATGAGCCACCAAACACCTGAAGCATGAAATTGTTCATTCACCATTCAGATAAAAGTTGGGTACTCCATCATTCACATAACTAACCATTATTACTTCTGTGATACATCAGAAGTTAAATGAATATCGACACACATCATGTCTACGTTCGTTCATGTTTTCGTTTATGATCAGTTAAAAAACAACGAAGTGAATATTTAGAATTAGAGTGAGGGAGGAAGAGATGAAAGGATAAGTGAGATTTGGAGAAATTACTGCAGCTATTGTATCCTTAGACAGTCTAGTCTTTTTGTTTTCTCTAGCTCCCTCTGCTGCCACTGCCGCCTTCTGTGGGAAATGCCTGATAAATTTTGGCCTATGCAAGTTTTTTTGAACGTCAGAAGACTCTACCGAGTTTTCTGTGACCTTCTGCTTCTGCAAAACATGATTACAATAATAATAATAATAATAATAATAATAATAATAATAATAATAATAATATATGGAGTAAATAATAGTAATTCATTTACAAAGTCGAGAAGTTAATGTAGCAGTGAAGAATTAGGAACATGAGAGAACATGAACCTTCTTTAACCGTTTTTCCTCAATGGCACTCATAACACGAGATTTATCAGCTTGCGAGAGGAAGAAATCTCGTTCCTTTGTAGCAGCTGACAATTCCAATGCTAACTTCTGCTCCCGAACAGCATTGTTGTATGCTGCAAACAATTTTTTTTTGCCCATTCATGTAAATATGTGTTTGTCTATCAAAACATACACATAATACAATAGTTCTCCCTACCTATTTCCTCAGTAAGATCATCCCACTTGAATTTACTCAAGTACTTGATATTCCAAATATCATAATAGAAAGAAGACCTTTTCTTTCCACCTAACAACAAAGCGAGGTGTGAAAATCATTACAACACCCACGAAACTTGCAAGAGACAAAAAACAGATATTTGATGGTGTACCCATCTGTTGACCGTTTAACATCTTAGCAACCCTTTTGGCAATGCTCTTTTTTGTAAATTCGACCCACCTAAAAAATGTACACAAACAATATAAAAAGCGGTGGATTCATTAAGTATTAGAAATTTCATATCCAACAATACCATACAAGACTCTTTAGTCTTGATGAGGAGTAGACAGTTCTTATTTTTCTATTGCCAGAAATTCAGATAACTATTATAGATTTCTGTGAATAAAATTCTCAAGCAAAAATTGCATACCCTTCAGAAAATTCTTGTCCACGAAAGCCATCTGCCCGTTTACGATTCATTTGTGCATCTGGATCTATGGACAAACATCATTCATTAGTTACATGAACTACATGTAATCACAACTTTGTACTATTTTTTCCGAATGATAATGTCAGCTGGATAAGAAAAACACTGAAGACAACTAATAACTAAGACACCAAATAATGCTCCATCTGGTACTATTTATAAGGCGCCCTAGGGTGGTGCTTAATGTTACTCATTATATATTATCAATCCATATTTAATTTGTATTTCTGTATACCCTATGAAATGAAAGAGACTCATTTCTTATTGATGTTGCTTCAGACAAAGACATAACATTGAATAAGGACATGTTAGGAAAGTTAAGAATATTTATTTCTATGGTGTGTAAATGTGTGCAGAAGTCAAAGCCACGCTCTATAAATAGGTTCGGCGAGAATGATCTTTATTTTTGCATACTACAAAGGGGTTAGAATAACTAACTTTCAGGAACAAGATAAATTCTCTGAATTTCTCCATAATGTGACAAAATTTGACGGAGCTTCAAAGGATCCATGTGTGGAGGTACCCGACTCAAGTAACAAATTCCACGCTTTCCCGCCTTTGCAGCTTCTTCCATTAACATTAGCTTCCTTTTATTTTTCCGGTTTCTCACACTACCATTTTTCTCTTTCCCATCACCAATAGCAGAATCTTTTACCTCCATATCCTCCTTAATCATCCTAACGGATGGAGAAAGAAAGTATGATGCAATAATGAATCAGAAGGTGAGTAAACAACAATATGCATCAAGGGACACAATGCACTTGCTATGAAATAACTAGTACGATGAAAGCAAAAACTATACTAGATATTTTAAATGAAGAAATAGCAGCATCTTGAAAATGGGAGGAACTGTAGGAGCACCTAAACCCAACATCATATTAAGTCGTTGATAATGTAAATTTTAATAGTAACTCCCCAATCATGCATCCCGTTGTTCATTACTTACATGTCCGATTGAACTCTTATTTTTACAAGTATACTGTACAGAGTATTAAAGCACATTAAAAAATAAGAACACATATTCACCACTACATCTTGACAACAGATCAAGACTAATCTAAAGGGATTGCCTGTTGAGGTTTGTTTTCAAAGGAAAAATAAATCACATTTATACAGCAATGAAGATTTATCGGGGAGGGTGAGTGTACGCACACCTCGCACCTACGTAAAAGTAGAGAGATTGTTTCCAAGAGACCTCGTCTCAAACAAAGGAAACACAAAAAAACATGTAAAGGAAAAAGTGATAACAAAGGAGAGGGATAACAAATGGATAACCATTATTAATCATCTTAAGAAAATAATAATAATAATGCAATTGAATACTGTTAACCTCCACGGGATAGAGGCTAAATTCGAGGTGACTATTCAAACCTAAGACTATTCAGGCGACTCTGTTTTGAAACACAGAAATGAAAGCAAAGATAAAACAAAAACTGCTGCTTTAGGATTCCTTAGGAGTGAAATGAAAACTGGTGAAGAGAAACAACAACAACAACAACAACCCAGTTGAATCCCACAAGAGTAGGGTCTGGGGAGGGTGTGTGTACGCAGACCTTACCCCTACTCGAAAGTAGAGAGGCTGTTTCCAAAGAGACCCCCGGCTCAACGTCAAAAGTTGCATTGCTTGACTAACTGCTACTTCATTAATTAAAGAAGCACAGACAGTTTAGAGATCCATTTTGATTTATTCCATCATACCCCAAAGCCAAAAAATGGTGAAATTTTGGCTCCATCGGAGATGATGGTTGCTGGTGAAGAGAAACAAGAATGGTTTTTGTATTGATTGTAAAATAAGAAGGGTTGAATGGAGGAAGGATATATAATTGGGGTTAACCGGATAAAAAATACTTTTTTCATTTGTTCACCGGTTAATACAAGTGTACATTTCTTGCTCTTCAAAAGTGTGTAACATCACTTGACAGTGTATAACACTATTGTTTTGTAGTTATTTAGTTTTATCAGAATGTTACGGTAGTTGTTACATTAGACATCTAAAATGAATATTAAAAAAAAGTAATTTCCCCTACTTTTGTATATCTAAGTAATTTTACTTCTATCTCGAATCCACCTACCAAGCTTTGAGTAAATATAACAATGAAGTATTTCACTTTCAAATTTTAAAGAAGTGAGAATGTACATAAAAAGATGCATTGAATACACTTCCATTATAATCAAGTGGAGGCATTAAAAAAATCCACCATTGTTTAATTTTTTCTAGCAGTTAATATGACTTGCTTTCAATTTAAGATGTTGGTGTACATATTAAACTACTACACAACAACACTAAGAATCTAAAAGGGCAAATATAAACAAATATGATGCAAGATACCCACTCTTAAACAATATAACAATGAACCAATTAATATGGAATACGTATATACATCTTTTTCGTGGGCAAACTTGAAGAAGTAGAGGTTATAAATTCAGTAACTCTCGACTACGCGTTTGACTCTTTAATTTGTAACATTCATAGCACAACACCAAATTATATTTCTAGGGATTTAACATTGAGACAAAGCACGGGTCAAGCCGGTTACAAAGCTCACCATAAGTTCATAAGAGCACGGGGCAATAGCAACTAGTAGGGGAGAGCATAGGTTCGGTTTGGTCGGTTTCGGCCCAAAACAGAAGTAACCGAAAATAGAAATTACTCACAATAACAGACCAAAACCGAACTGAATTAGTGTTAAAACCGAATAAACAGAATTGAGGAAAACCGATCGGGTTTGGTCGGTTTGAAAAAACCAAAAGCTTCATCCCTAAAACCTACTCTACCTACTGGATGCTGCAAGAATAGAAGCATATTATCTTATCCCAACGAGAAGAAGATAAACAGTTAGAACACGGAGTACATATTCTGAGATACATACCTGATTCTGGTGAAATCCTTGAGGCGAAAACAGCAAAATGGTCAAGCGATAATCAGAATCGAGATGGTGGATGGTTGGCAGACACACACACCCACACAAAATCGAAAACCATACAATCGTCACAGGAGTTTACAACCGACGGAAAAGGTGAGGTAGATCCGGCGACGATGGAGTCGAGGTTTTGAGGAAGGAGACGGGCGGCGGACGATCTAAGGAGTCCAGGTCGGAGGCGATGGAGTCGAGGTCTTGAGGAGTTGAGGTTTACTTGTTTCACTTGCTCAAGATGGAGTCGAGGTTTAGTTGTTTCACTCAAGGTTTTAGATTTTTGTTTTTTTTAAAAATAAATTTAATTTCTCTTTAAAAAAAATATATAAAAAAGAAAAGAAAATGAAATTTTTGTATGATTATAATTTAAGTAGAGAAAAATTAAATGATATAAGGCATAATTTTTTCTAAAAAATTAAAAAAATAAACTTTAGAAACAAGTTAAATAGAAAAGTGAGAAAGTAATCTTTAATTATTAGATATCGAAAAAATTGTTTTTAAAATACATTCACAATATCAATCTAATTCTACTTTTAAAATACATTTTTATTGCTACCTGTAATTTGAGTTTCTAAAGTTATTACATTATAAAATATGAATGAAAAAATATTATTACATTATATAATTACATTGTAATATAAATGATTATTCTAATATATGAATTAACTAATTTTATTTCATTAAAAAATGATCATAAAATAAAAAATATTGATTACATTATAATATAAATTATCATTACAATTTTTAAAAGTAATTATAAAATCAAATCAGATCAGAACTACAAAAAATCAGATGAAATCAGAACAAATAAATTAAATGCAATGGAGCCTAAGTTACTTTGTAAAACATTTTGGTTGGGACTAGACTAATGACGGAGGTAATGACTAGTGACGACTTTAGACTAATGGACTGGGCTGTAACTTAAAACATTTGTAGTCATTCCTAAAAAGACTTATACTCCCTCCGTCCAGTTTTAAATCGTCCGTATTGACTTTGAAGCATATTTAAGGAAGAAAAAAAAAGAGTTGACTTTTCGAAATTGTCACTACTTTTTAAGAGAGGTGACGATGAATGAGAAGATAAGATGGAGAAGAATGACTTATTTTAGGGGTAGTTTACGTCTTTTAATTTTAAATGTTTACGATAACAAGAAACAAGCAACTTATTTTGAGACGCAGAAAAAGAGAGGGAGTATATGGAAACTTGACTTCCTTTAAAACTAAAAAAAATCTTCCTTAAACACTCGGTAATTCCAAAGCCAAACACTCGGTAATTATTAGGAATATAAAAGTACTGTAATTTACAAAAAAAAAAGAAGAAAGAGATCATCAATTGGTAATCATAGATGAAGAAGACGATGATGAGGAGGAGGAATACAAGGTTTGAAGGGAGTTGGATTGACTTGGAAGAACAAGTAATTGCCGGCAAACAGATCCCCGAAATGGGACTTACTTTCCTTCAGTCTCTTCCTCGCCGCCGCCGCTGCCAACCGGGGAATCTTAATAATCCTCCTCAATCTCGTCTTCCCCTTACTATTCTTATTATTAGTAAACCTTCTCCTCAATCTCGGCCTGCCGGCATATAAGCTTCTCAGCCAGCGAAATGCCGCCGCCACCGCCGTATTATTATTATTATTCCGATGATGATGATCATCACCATCATCTTTAAGCCTGGTGTAGGAGTTTCTGAATTGAGAGGTGGAAGACATTATTGCAGATCTGATTCAATACATATTCGAATAATCAGATGGGATGGATGATAGATCATCCTGCATACATGTATTGTCATGTGTGTAAATATGTATGAGAGAAATTGGTGTTCGTTGGGCATTCATTCAATGCAACCCGTCAGCCGCCGCCGCCTTATGTCGTCACTGCCTAACCACCCCTCTCCCCACGAAGCATTTCAAAAATTATTTTACTAAAACATACAGAGTAATAATTTTCCCGATCTAATGTCATCCCTTTTTTATTTGTACCATTGTTCAATGTCCACTAGTTATTGTACAAGTAAATATCTACTCTCACCGGGCATCGTACAAATTAAATGTTCATCATCGCTGGATATTCTTCCCGTCACTCGACATTATTCAAGTACTATTTAAAGAATAAAAAAATTTAAGTAATACATTGAGAAAGGACATATATTTCTAGTTCTATTTACTATAAATTTCACAAAATTATATTAAAAGATCTATAAAAAGGTAGTAACAAGACTATTATTTTATTATATCGGTAACAAAAATAGACAAGGAACATGATTAAAATTTGATCATGTGAATAATAAATATACATACTTGAGATCAATTGTAATATCTCCTCATCCATCCATCCATCCATGTGTTTCTTTGGCAAACAAATAATGCCTCCATGTCTAGAAATTATCAAATTTCACTAGTACTTGTATTTTTTTATCATCAGAAGAACAAGAACAATCCTCCTCACTTATTTTTGAGAAAAACGCATCATCATCAATCAAACAAATGGTCTATCGATCGTCAATCAATCAATGGGCAAATATTCCGTATTCTAAAAGCCAAGACTCTTCAAAACACAAGAATAATTTTGTTGGTTTTTTTTACAACAAAGAACATACGGATAGTTGAAGAAGAGATGGAGATGTATTTACACCAACCACACTTAAAATACTCAATACAGTTTTATCCTAGTTTGAATTGCGCTGCGACATATCGGGCATGTTTCCAACGCTCTCCCACATTCACAACATGTCTGCACCAACAACAACAACAACAACAGAATGACACAAACCACTCAGAACAACTCGCTTCTCCCTCCCACCCCACCCCACCCATAAAGACAAACAAACCGAGGAGACGATAAACTAACCTGATGTCCACAACCAAATGCCATATCCTTCGGGTTAGTGAGGCAAATCGGGCAAACCTGTATTTCAAAGTAATGTGTTTTTATATACATACACGATCGGTACCCACATAATAACAGAGCAAGAAATGTGTGCCACCATACCAACCTGATTATCATAATTCGTGGCAGGTGCAGATGGACCCTGGGCAACAGGACTACCCCTGGGATCATAGTACGAGCTTGGTGCTGTGTGCTGAGGGGCCAAAGGTGTGCCCACGGGGTCCTTGTAGTCGTAGTAGGAACTTGGAGTGTGCTGAAAACTTTTCCCTCCTGCGGGCTTCGAACCAGTCCCACCATAGATGGGAGGGGGGAGGGGAACCCTTCTGGGAGATTTACCTTTATTACCCCTGATGACGATGGTGAAACAACAAGCGAAGTGTGAAACGTTTGTGCTTTAGAGTATTTGCATGTGTGTGCAATGGCAAAGTGGGGGAGGAGAAGAGTAGGTATATTGTATATAAATCCGGATATACAATGAGCATGGTGGTACATCTGAGATCTCAAACTGAGTATTGTTCTAAAAAAATGAGCATTCTAAGCAGCTAAATGAGCATTATTTACAATAAAAATGAGCAGAATAAAATAAACACGACATGATAAGACTAAATAAAATGAGTATTATTCAGAACCCTAATGAACATATTGTCCAAAAAATTACACAAATGTCATGGATGTAAATTAATCCGGATGAATGATATAATTTGCGAGATATTGTGAAGGAATATGCATACCCTAACAGACCAAGCTCAATGGTGGCTTTGTATTGTGAAGGAATTTCCATCAATGCTGAAAGTGCAAATTCTGTTTCTTTTCGAGCTTGAGGTACCGATTTTGCCATTATCTCGGTAAAATTGACAAACTGGAGTTTTGAAGGCCAAAGATGATCAATCAAACATAGCCCATGGAAGCAATTGAAGGAAGAAAGCATACCCCACTGGCTCATAAAATAAAATTAATTTCAATCATAACTAACCTGAAAATTATCAAATTCTCTGGACGGGATATTATCATCAAACTCCTTCATCATGTCCCAAGGCCCATCCCCAACCCCAACCAAAATAATAGACAGAGGGAACTTACTGCAGACACAAGACACCAGCATGTCAATATAAATGAGAACCAAGCTACTAAAAAAAAGCACATACATTGGAAAGGGAAAAAAACCATACCTCGCTTCTACAATTGCATCAACTGTTTTTTGCTCCTGGGGACTCAATTGACCACGCCCAGTATCAACACTACGGGTCACCTGTCCCCAAAAAGCAATCAATATTAATCGGGGTTAGGTGTAATATACACAGAGTTGGGGAGGGGGGGGGTCCTAAGCAAGAAAATACCTGCCCGTCAGCAATGATCACTAAAACGTGATACTGTCCTCCACTCTGCTCCACAATAGTCATAGCCATTTCAATCACCGGTGCAAAAGATGTTGGCCCTGAAAGCCATGAGCTCTAAGATCATCTAACAAAAAACAGTACGCTTCACTATCAAAGCCAGAATGTTAGTAGGAAATCTGACCTGCAAGTCTTAGTTGGGGTGCAATTTCCCTATACTGAGATAAAACATCCTCAAAACCATTGCAAAACCTATCATCTGGATAGAAACTGAATACATCCTGATCGTGAGTTGTTGCTGCATAATCAAAGGAAAGAGATGATCAGAGAAATATCATACAAAGCATTAAAACAGTCTCAGAGAGCAGAGAAAGAGAGATGTATATACCGTCACCAAACCCAAAACACGGGATTAAGTTATCATCATCAAAGGCTNATGTTGGCCCTGAAAGCCATGAGCTCTAAGATCATCTAACAAAAAACAGTACGCTTCACTATCAAAGCCAGAATGTTAGTAGGAAATCTGACCTGCAAGTCTTAGTTGGGGTGCAATTTCCCTATACTGAGATAAAACATCCTCAAAACCATTGCAAAACCTATCATCTGGATAGAAACTGAATACATCCTGATCGTGAGTTGTTGCTGCATAATCAAAGGAAAGAGATGATCAGAGAAATATCATACAAAGCATTAAAACAGTCTCAGAGAGCAGAGAAAGAGAGATGTATATACCGTCACCAAACCCAAAACACGGGATTAAGTTATCATCATCAAAGGCTGCCAAGGTTTTCCCAATGATGGAAATTAATTGCTCATAGGGATTAAGACCACGTCCAATGTCATGCAAGCTTCGCCCGCCAAATGACCTCTTACCTAAAATTCAGTGAGCATTCAGAACAATGTATCTAAACCACACACTACAGGACTAGATTCCGGTTAGACTAATTGATGATATTACCAGTCCATTCATTGCTCTTCGTGAAATCAATGCCAACAATCAGATTGGAAGACTCCAGTCCAGCACGTGCAAGAGCATCAGTTACCTGTAGAGAACACCGTTTTATTGGCATCATGGATGCAAAGTATCGCGAGGAATATGCTATCTTTTTATTTAAAAAAAACACAATCTTTAGCAATGAGACATAAATGCTCGTCCTCTCCGAGCATCATCATAACCCAAAACTTTTTCAGGTTATACATTCACTATTTACCACATGAAAAAGAGACTTCCCTTTTAAAAAAGCGGGTAACTTTTCCTATAAAAAAAAAAAGCGTGTAACTTTGAAAGACATGCCCTTTCCCAATAAAAAAAAAGTAGGGAGTAGATCTTTGTGAATGCCAAGTTTAATATACTCCGTAGGGAAAAAAAGAACTGTGATTTACACATAGCAGAAGTGAATGTTAAAAACAAAAAGAGGCTGCAGATAGAGATACCTCTTCGAGGGAATTGAAATTGTCAGCAATCCTTGAATACCTCCGGTCAAGCCTCTTCTGGGGAGGAAGCAAGGTGTAAGTGGAGGGCCCTAGATCTTGAGAAGGAGGGTGATACGGCGGCTGAGGCGGCGGCGCGTAGGAAGGAAAGGCGTGCTCGACTGGGTAATTGTAGGGCTCTGGCGGTTGATAGGGTTGTTGATAGGAGGGGGAGGATTGGGGGGGATACTCATAATTCCAAGATGATGATGAAGTTGACCTAGAACTTTGCCTCCAGCTATCGTCCCTAGAACTCTTCCCGCCCATCAATCAAAGTCAACAACAACTATCGCCCTCGAGAAATCCTTAATTAATTATTCCGACCGAAAACGAACGGATCAGAAACGGCTGTCGAAATCAATCGGGAAACAAGCAAACGCAGAAAATAGCCTCTCCCTCTCTGTCTCTGTCTCTGTCTCTCTCTAACGGGAGAGATGCATCATATACATATGCAGAGATCTGGTCTGGTATATACGCGGGGCTGAAATTCCGAGGAAACACACAGAGGCGGCCAAGACACGGCGGAAGAAACTTCCCCTGTGTTACTTACGTTACGGGGTTTTCTCGCTTTCAGTTTTCACAATTTATCCAGAAAAGAGTTTTTTTTTTTGCCGGTTTAGGATTTGATCTTAAGTTTGACCCAAAAGTAATCACTTTGTATGCAAAGTGAACGGTTTCAAAAAGGAGGTGGTACTTATTTTTTTTTCTTACACGGCGAAAGAAACTTCTAGGAGTACTTATTTTTTTTCTAACACCTATTACTCCTAGAGAAATTCATTTGTTTTATCTTTTTTTATGAGAGATTGTCTTTCTTCTTTTGAAAATAAATACTCCCTCCGTCCCTTTAAACATGAGATGTTTAGATTCTGAAGAGATCTGAAGAAATTGTATTTTGATATTGAATTTTCAAAAATAATCTTTAATGTGATGGGTAAAAGTAGAATTTGATGGGTAGATTATTAATAAAAAGGTATGATGTGATACGTAGGGTATGAAAAGTAAGGAATAAAAGCGACTTTTTAATAGAAATAAGAAGTGTTTTTTGGGACGGATGAAAAAAGAAAGGAGAAAGATTTTCAGAGACGGGGGAGTATATTTTTTTGTCCTAAACATACTATGATAATATAATTTTGACCAAATAGATCCTATAATTTCGACCAAATAGCTCATGTGTCCTCATATTTTTTAAAACATGCACCCAATATTTCCACGTTTTCAAAATTTATTTTTAAAAATTTCTACTATTATTTTCAAAATGTTGCACCGGCATCTTTTCCTACTATTTCTTGTTTAGTTTTCTGGGATGAGTTGAGTATTTTTTTCATATTTTTCAAATCAAAAGGGATACTGTCCTACTTTCCATTTATTTTTACTTTCTTTTTTTCTGCCGGTGGGCGTTACGCAGTTGGCAAGACAATGGGTGTTAAGGGGATAAGACCTAAGTTGACAACTGTGCTAAGAGGCAACTATGCTAAGCATAGAGCTTCTGCAAGTACCAGGTGCAAGCTCTACTCTTCGCCACCAATCTGCGATTAAATGCCAATTTACCTCCTCTCAGTGATCGTCTGGTCAGGTCTAAGAGAGCCTTCGGGGATGGAACTCATCTTTTTTTAATTTGTTTTTTTCTTTTTATTTTCCAAAACAAATAAAAAATGAAAATGATTTAGTCAATATAGATGAAGTATATATCAAGTTTTTCATTTCATATAATTTTTCAAAAACTAACAATTTTAATTTTTAAAAGTATTATAAATAATATTTTAAAAAATAAAAAATAAAATATTAGGCTCTGATGCCCCTATGGTTTAAAAATTATGCATCAATATCCCTTTATCATTAGAAAATGAAAGAGAAATAATCAAACAAGTGCTTATGCAAAATTTTGAAAACATGTGTGGTTAGTGGTGCCTATTTTTAGTTTACATGTGCCTATATAAATTTTTTTTATTTATATTTTACTCATAGTTTAGCAATTCTTTTTAGTTTATCGTAACCTTTTATAGATTTTTTTGTTGAAATACGTTGTATTTAGGGAGTATTTTTGTTTTTCATTCTATCATAAATGAAAATTTAGTATTTCCTTCTCTTTTCCTTTTCTTCTTTTTTTCTTATTTGTATTTTTACTTCAAAATGAAATCAAACATTTGTAATTGAGAATAGGCAGAATCTGCTATTTACCATAAATTTGTGAGGGACCATCTGAAACCGGTCTCGAAAATGAAAAAATGAAATTGACCCGGTCCAAATTTTACATTTTTGGCCCCATTTTATTATTTTAGTATACCTATGCTTCAAAATTAATGATGAATTTAAAAAATATGAGACCCTAAAATTTTCGGGCCCTGTGCGGTTGGACACTTTACATATCCTCGGGCCACCAATGTCTCAAATAGTAAAACGGGGTTCATCATTTTTCTAGAGGGGTGCATTTTGAAATTTTGGCAAATCAAGGGGTGCACAATGTCATTTACCTATAAAAAAGAGGGGGTGGGTCAGGCCGAGCTCGCAGTAGCAGTAGCATTGTATTCTGTGCACCTATCTATCCCACCTAGCTACCTACCTTACATCCTACTCGATCCCACTGTCTCCGGCAGGCTCGCCCATCGCCTGAAATCACCAAAGCCGCCGCCGCCGCCGCCGCCGTCGCCTCTGCATTCGGAAACACTGCGCCAAAGTTTACTTAACTGGCCGGGTACCCGAAAATTCCGGTTTAATTTGAGAGCATCATTCCCAAAAAGGAATCCGCGGAGAATGATCCATTGCCTTCTCTTGCAGATATGCATCTGCATCCAGCGATTTACTCAATTAATTAATTCTCCACATATAGTTTGAAAGCCAGCACCGTCCGGCCTCAAAACCCTAGCCAGTTGCTGAAATTTTCTCGGAGATGAAGGGGAAGAGAGATGTTCTGCGTTCCCCGGCGAAGCTGCTCAAGTACGTTCTCATTGGACTGATCGTGCTCCTCGCTTTGGTTTGTCTCTACAGCGGTTCCTCCATCGCACCCCGCCTGTCAAGAGGGTTCGAAACTTTCAGAGATGGCTCTGATCCCCTCACCCGAAGAGGCAATGATGTTGAAGAGTGGCTCGATCATACGGAACACCCCCTGGAACTCCCCAAAAGAATTCCTGTAAGCTTCTCAAAGCAATTGGTATTTTTCATGTTCCACATTATTCAATTGAGATTTGAAAAGTACTATACGAGAATTGAAGTGGTTAATTGTTCGTTTATACATGTTCGCCCGCCAATTTGATTTTCCTTTTATAGGTGTGTGATAAGAGTTATTCCGAGTTAATACCTTGTTTGGATCGGAATTGGATTTATCAGTCAAAGTTAAAACTGAACTTGTCTCTGATGGAGCATTACGAGAGACATTGCCCGCCTCCTCAGCGTCGCTACAATTGCCTCATTCCTCCCCCATCTGGTTACAAGGTCAGTAATTGATCCAATCACACCACACACTTCTGAAAATTGTGCAGGGTAAGAAAGATAGAATACTTGTTTTATTCATATTGAGTAAACACTTGAGTAATATACGACTCTCTGTATTAAGGACTGTGCCAAGTTTCTGTCTGTTAAAATTGATGCCGATGATTCATTGTTAGACTCTCAGATTCCAATTAGATGGCCTGCCAGTAGGGATCAAGTGTGGAAAGCAAACATACCTCACACGCATCTAGCCCAAGAAAAATCAGACCAAAACTGGATGGTGGTTGATGGAGACATAATAAGGTTTCCCGGCGGGGGAACACATTTTCATGATGGAGCTGAGAAGTATATTGTAGCTATTGCATCGGTATTGTTCATTTGTTTTCTTGTCTAAGCAAGTAGTGATTGACCCAATCAGTGGTATTGCCAAAAAAATTGATCTTTTTTACTCTGCTTCTGTAGATGCTCAAATTCCCTGGTGAAAAGCTCAGTAATGGTGGAAATATACGAAATGTTCTTGATGTGGGTTGCGGTGTTGCTAGCTTTGGGGCATATCTTCTGTCACACGATATCATAGCTATGTCAATTGCTCCAAACGACGTGCATGAGAATCAAATACAGTTTGCGTTGGAGAGGGGGATTCCGTCTACATTGGGCGTCTTGGGAACCAAAAGACTGCCTTATCCAAGTAGATCATTTGAATTGGCTCATTGTTCCCGTTGTAGGATTGATTGGCTTCAACGGGATGGCATTCTTTTGTTAGAATTGGACAGGCTGCTCCGGCCAGGTGGCTATTTCGTGTACTCCTCACCAGAGGCATATGCACACGATGCTGAGAACCAAAAAATAGGAAACGCTATGCATGACCTTTTCAAAAGAATGTGCTGGAGAGTTGTTTCAAGGAGAGAACAAACAGTGATATGGGCTAAATCTCTGAGTAATAGCTGCTATGCAAAGAGAAGCCCAGGAACGGTGCCTCCACTGTGCAACTCTGGTGAGGATCCAGATGCCACTTGGGATGTTCCTATGAAGGCCTGCATTACTCCCTACTCGTCAAGTAAGCATTATATCAAGCACTAACGTTTCAAATATTTTGAATTCTTCCTTATAACTTGCTTTTCTCTTGTTTCTTTCTTTACCAAAATATTAAGAGATGCACCGGGACAAAGGGAGTGGACTAGAACCTTGGCCACATAGGCTCACTGCAGCACCTCCGCGCTTGAAAGAATTGAATGTTAGTCCGGAAGAATTTCAAAAAGACACTGTAAGTATTTGAAATAGCTGTGCTTTGTGCTGTTGTTGGTTATGTCAATATTGTGATCTTGTTAGCTATGTGCAGAGTGTATGGCACGATCGAGTTTTAGACTATTGGAAGCAGATGAGAAGTGTCGTCACACAGAAAAACACTTTCAGAAATGTCATGGACATGAACTCAAACCTTGGTGGATTTGCTGCTGCTCTCAACGACAAGGATGTCTGGGTGATGAATGTTGCTCCAGTTAATGCATCTTCCAGATTGAAAATCATTTATGATCGAGGCTTAATCGGAACTGTTCATGATTGGTGAGCAACTTTCAAACTACCAAGTACTATTTTTTTGTAGTGTTTCGGGACAGCATTATCATTTGTTTGATTGGAAGGTTTGTGAGATTTGACAAATACTGATAATGATTCGGTATTAATATTCAGGTGTGAATCGTTTTCAACATACCCGCGTACCTTTGACTTGATACATGTGTGCATGGCATTCTCAGAGATAGAGTCCCGTGGGTGTAGCGCAGAGGACCTACTTATAGAGATGGACCGGATGCTAAGGCCAGAAGGATTCGTCATTATAAGAGACAGGCCGGGTGTTATAAACCATATAAGAACGTTCTTGACAGCATTACACTGGGACGGCTGGGTTTCAGAGGTTGAACCTCGGAGGGACGCTCTCTCCCTGGCTGAAGAAAGGGTTTTAATTGCAAAAAAGAAAATGTGGGAATAGGAGGCTGCGAATGTGATGGCTCCAAACACCCAAACAAGGTTGGAATTAGGGAGGGGTTCTTGGTCCTTTGGACATTTTCCAATGCTTTGAACACCAAACAAAGCTTCCGATGAAACCACTTGTAACATTTAGTTTTCATTTATGCAGAACTCGTAATGTTATCAGGCTTGTAATGCATATTACTGGATAAACAACTAATCAAATTGTATAATTATTACTCCACTAGAGTATAAAAAGCAGTAACTTTTGAATTTCCCATATATGGTTGGCAGCAAATATCAATGTCCCAGAGACTTCAGATATAGATACAATTTTGAAATTGTATCTATATTCCGAATCGTTTTTATGTGTATGAAGAAAACTAAGTACAATTGCAATGGAGAAGCCTCACAAATCACACAATGTAAGGCTGCTACAGAATAATAGAATAGAGAATCCAATGGCTGAAAAACAAAACTTAGGAGCAGTGAAAAGAAATATACTCCGTAGAAAAGAAGATCAAGTCTGGAGGAATGCTTTTCTGTTTCCTATCACCCATAAAAAAAAGTTTGTCAAGAACATAACAGAAATACTTTTTAAGGGTCTCTTAAAAATTACACTCATGTGATGAAACCTTACATAGCCTGCAACCTGCTTAGTAGTTCAGTTTCACTTTCACTAAATGCTCACTGTATTTTTATCGCTTAAGAATATATTCATGAGGCATCTGTCTTCTTCTTCTTCTTCCTTGAAGCAAAGCTGCTAGGTCCAATCTCAATGGTCATCCGTTTTGTCCTTCAAAACAAAGCATATCCTCATCATTGAGATGTGATTCCTTAATGTCCGACCCCCCCCCCCCCCAAAAAAAAAGGAAAAAAAAGCAATCCTAATATTTGTGTGA